AAAAAAAAAAAAAAAAAAAAAAAAAAAAAAAAAAAAAATTGATAAAATTAACGACGTATAGTAAAGTATTAAGATGAGCTCAGCATTGAGTGAGTCATTCATTAACGAGAACGTTTAAATTCTTGCTATGCTAAAGGAAGAAGCAAGATCACATTAAAGCACCTAGATTTTTTCGAAAGAATCCACATAAATTTAAGCAATATAAGAAGAACTATAAACGGAATTGTCTTGTTTTTATTAGAAAGTTTCATTCAGCCATCATTTAAAGCTTCAATTCAAATCACGCATTTGAGTAGCTCTTTCAAATGTGTTCTATTGGATTGCACAGGATAAACTCTGTACGGATACATTATATGTTTTTCCTGTCTGAGTGAGAACCTTGTCGTCGTTTAGATTAGAATACGCAGAAAAAAAACATAACGTTGGCAGGTTAAAGTAATAATGTGGGGGTGCGGCAAAAATATCTCAGAATTAAAATATCATCCACATTGAAAATTTTACCTCTTAAGGACCCAACTTACCCTGCCACAATCACTGACAGTAAGAACATTAATTTTTGTAGTAACGTAAGAAATTCACTTGAAGCTTTCATATTAGTATTTTTCCCCTCTTTTGGAAGATGAGACTTGATGGAGATTATAATCAGCCGCTATCTAGGAAGGAACTAACTGTATAAAACTTAAAATCTGCTACACTTTACTCCCTTTTTAAAACCTCTCCGTTTTGGAATGCTCTTGGAGCAGTGAAATAAATTTCTCATTCCGTATGCCCAAAGTTACTAAAATAAATCGAAATAAATTAATATATTTCAGTTGCAGCGATGGCTGATCTGTGGGCTTCTAGCCGGTGTCTCCCTTGCCCAAAATCCCTCGCCACGGCAGCATATCACCACCAACTTACGCCGGCAGCCTTTCCAACTTGCTCCCCTCGGCAGACCTCACACAGACGTTAACCAACAAATCAACGCCCAATTCTCCCCTGCCATTCCCCTCACCTACGAGAACCTCCGGCCACAGGAGTACCAGGCTCAGATTTTCGGCTCGAACCTCCAACCCCCGAATGTCGAATATTACCAACTCTCGCCAAGTTCGAGCCTCCCGGAGAGTTACCCTGCCAGCGCGCCTTCAAACCTCGCCGGATACCAATCGCAAAGCACCCGCAAAGAGGACTGTGAGCACTCTCACGAGTCTCATCACCCACACGAGACTCATAAACAAGAGCCTTACAATCACCCTCATGAGGCTCACCATACCCAGCGCCCAAACCCGCAGTTCTCTCCAGCCATCCATACACCAATGCAAAGCGTTCCCGAGAGTGCAGCTCCTGGTGCTCTGGTTTCGGGCGGCTACCAACAGGCCGCGCCACCAGCGATGAACCCCGGTGCCCAATTCGAACCAGCTATTTTAATCTACTCCGTGGACAGACAGCCACCATACGTCAAAGACCAGGCACCTTCTATGACTCACCGCGAGAGTGCGCAACTCTCCCCTGCTCCATCGGTTCCCGCGAGAGATGAATCTGTTTCTGTTGCCGTTGAACAGAACCCAGGAAGTAGCTCTTTCAGATATGCTTATTCATATCCTATCGGTGTAAGCAGATCTCCGGCATCCCCTGATATAATGGCTGACTGGTCCTCAGGCTCAGAGCCTAACTGGGCTCCTAATACCGTGTCTGCCTGGTCGACAGCCTGGCAGCGAGACGGCAAATCAGCGGCTCTTTGGCCACCAAACGAATGGCTACAGAACACACGTGCCAACGAATGGCCAAAACCATCTGGTGCCCAAGGTGTAGCTCATTCTTTGACATCACCTTCTGGTGCCCAAGGTGTAGCCCATTCACTAACACCACCCTCTGGTGCCCAAGGTGTAGCCCATTCTTTGACATCACCCTCTGGCGCTCACGGTGTAGCCCATGCTCAGACATCACCATTGGCCTTGAACTCTGCGCGACCAGCACCAAATCGCAAGTAAAGCGGACACCTTAATACTCACGTTTGAGACTCTGATCAATAAACAATGAGTCTTGATCATAAGGTCAAAGATGGAAGATTGTGAAACTGGACCGTTAAAAGCAGAATAAATGTGATCGAAATAAACAATGGCAAATTTTTTCAGAATTTCTTTACTGTATCATTTAGACTACATTGGAAAAAAACACATTGGATCTAGAGTCCAGACTCTTAAAAACATAGACAAAAAAATACTCTTGATTCGATCAGATTTAAGCTTAAATCAAGAACCAAGCCTCTTAATTTGAGCGGATTTCCTTTTGATTTAAGCTTAAATCTGATTGAATCAAGAGTCCTTTTTCTTGTCAATGTTTTCAGGAGTCTGGACTCTAGCTCCAATGTGTGTGATAGATCCATGCCCATACCATACCAATTGCTCGGTCATGCTATCGTGCGCAATTGCCCCCATTAGTTTGAGAATTGTCCCGAGTTCAAATCTCGTCAGAAAAAAACGGCCTACCTCGACAAAGTTGGGAATATTTTTCAAATCGAACGGTGGTGCAGTATGGAGCACTGCCTCAAGAATGCAGGAATTTTTTAACTCGTAAAAAATTCAAACTCATTATTTTAAGGTCATTAAAATGTATTACATACTCATGGCTCTGATTAGGTTGCCGTTTTAAAAATGGAGACCCTGGTAAAAATTTGCCGTAGAATCTGTGTTCCAAAATACCATAGATCTACAGCCGGCTGTAAGATTTCCAATAGCTTCTATAGCCGGCAACACAATTTCTTATAGCATTTTATAGCCGATGGCGACTAAGCAACAGCCTGGCAATAAAGTGTATGCTAAACGTTACTAATTACGGATGCTAGGACTTAGTGAGTATTTGGACTACCGCTCTCTTTTTGGTCCGTAGTATCTCGATTTATTTTGCGAGGAAAGCTCCGTACTTTTGAAGGATGCCTGCCATTTCTAACATGTTGTAGCGCCTGAAATTTTGTATGATACTGTGCAATACCTCTGGTGTGAAATAGTTGCTTCAAGCGCCGTGGTACGCTGCGGCGCGGCGCGGCGGGCGGGCAGCCAGCGCGAAACGCGCATTGGCGCCTTCAAACCTAACAGGGATACTTCACGCATTCCGCAATGCCAGTGCGCCGCCGCTCCGCTTTGTGTTAGGCTCTAATATTTAATCTCGTTGAGTCAGCGTTTTTTAACTTATGACTTTGAGAAGTTTGCACACTCTGTATGGATTATTCTCATCGATGAGAAAAAATATATAGTAAAGGAAAATATAATGTGCGTTTTGTAAATATTAAGGTGATTCCGTACAATCTTAAGGATTTACAAAGCAAACGAATTTCTACACAATTTCTTGTAGCCTTTTATAGTCGATGGCGAAACAGCAACAGCCAGGCGACAAAGTGTAAAGCCCGGCGATAGGAACTATAGCCCGGCTGCATAATTTTTTATCGCTTCGTGTAGCCCGGCCGTATGATTTTTTCCACTTTCTACAGCCAGCTATATGATTTTCTATCACATTTTTCAGTCGACCATAAGAACTCCTATGGTATTTTGAAACGCAGCTCCTATCGCCAATTTTTACCAGGGAAATCATAAAAATATGAGCAAGTGAGGATAAACTACGATTAATATGAGCCTTTTGGAACATATAAGTAACACGTGGAAGGAGAAAAACCTCCTTGGACCCAGTTTAGTTCAATTCAGCATCAATTTATTTTATGTTTTGAAATTTATGAAGAAGCTCAAGAGGCACCTCTTTCAAAAGAAAAAAATGGAATCAGGGAAAATAATACAATTATTGTTTCACTGTTTTTGAACCAAAAAGCATTATAATATGTGAGAAAAAAAGACCTAAAATAGTCTGTAAAATGTAATTCTTTGAATTACATTTGTGAAGTGTTACATTTCAAGTGCATAACACTTTAAAGTTCCAGAAAGAAGTCATTCAATTATTTCATGAGACCTAAAACTGTTCCAAATGTTAAAAATGTCGACAGCTGCGGTGTTGGGGTACACTATACTACTCGATATTATAATATTTTGAATAAAACGTGAGTTGTGCTCCAGTATTGTCAAAAAGACACAACAATTACAAATAATTTTAAAACTAAACGAAAAATAGTAAAACCGAAAGTAAAATATTCCTCAATTTCAGGTAGTGTCTTTTTATGTGTTTTAGGGTTCTCAGTTCAGCTAGTGCCTCATTTGCATCCTGTTGAATAGTTTTTAGATTCGAGCAAGGACAGCAGTGATAACAGAGAGCGCTGCAGTCGCGGTCCAGACGTTAGGGTATAGTTGGGTACCTGAATTCATAAAAAGGGGGCTTGGTGTCCAAGCAGGCTGGTCACCTTGCATTTTATTTTCCTCCTCAAAATGTTTGGAGAGATCGTCTCTAATGTCACGTTTGACTTTCTGGGGCGCGACGTCTGATGGAGGCTTCACACAGCGCTTTCTGGTGCAGGCGACCACTGGTGGGTTCGACACGCAAAAACAGTCGTTGCAGTCCTCTTTCCAAGAATTTCCAGTATTATTCACACATCTGGGATCTGTAATTAGAATTAAAATCACACACATTACTAGAGAGATTAAATTTCATAAGAGGGGTTCTTGTTATATGAATAAATTAAATTATCCTAAGCAGATACATACTTAGGAGCCGCTTTCGCAGCGCTCTCTATTGCTCTGCGACATATAATTGCCACAGTACACACTGTCCTTCCACAACTTTTCAGGGAGTTCGCACTCCCTCGTTCTATTTAAAACCCCTTGTCACCATCCTTCCTCTGGGCGTCCCATTAATCTTATCTCATTAGGATCCCAATCAAGCATTTTTTTGGCAGCAAGAAATGCGTTCTCTGAAGGCATCAGAGAAAAAACGTTGCTGTTTTTTCATGAAATACCCGATGACAAACTTTTGTCGTGTGACTGTCGTGGCGGCTCAAAGAGACATTAAGGCTATCTCAACGCAGGACCTTTGAAAGGTGCTGGGAGATTGCGTTGGCCGATGACCTGCCATGTAGTCATCGGGTAATTAGCGAGAGTCGGCAAGTTTTCAGGAACGATCGTCAAGCTCTGAATGGTACTCATCGGGTAACCAACAGTTGACCTGATGCCTCCAGAGAACGCATCAGTCTTTCACGCCTTTCTTCAGTCATCTTGTTAACATAACCATACCAGACAGGTTGTTTGGTCATGACGTCGAAGTTGATGTAATTTTTGACCACCATCCTCCGACTCAATCCCTTAGCAGATCTCTCCTGAGCAGATTACTGCGGCTGAAATTAAAAAATGCTTTCCTCTAACTGGAAATTTCCCTCTTCATGTTTTATTTTTGTTAAAAAAAAAAACGAATTAACGTTTAATTGAAATGTTGTTAGTTTTCTTTTTTATAGAAAATGAGGTAACTTTAAACTTTACATTGAAGAAGCGTAACTTCAACCCATGAAATGATAATCTCGTATAACTGATTCAACATTTTAACAACATATAAATTTTGTTTAAGAAAACAAATAATATTTTACTCCATAGTATTTAAAAAAGTTGGATTGTAAAATATATTCTTAAATACTTTTAACACTCACCAGCTTTTTGTTCTTCAGCTCCTAAGCTTACTGCATAATGTTCCCCTGTGCACTTCATTCTCGTGCAGGCGGCCTTCATGATATCGATACAGAAACAATCATTGCAATCATTTTTCCACGATGTGATTTCTTGCTTACCAAAATCTGCCGGGCAGTGGGAATCGAGTTCTGTAAAAGAAGAGAAAGACAAAATTTTAAAAAAACCTACATTATCGTATCGATTATCATATTTGAATACAGCTTGGATATCAACGTGGAGGTAAAAAGTATACCTAGAGTTATTTCTATGAGTGCTAACTAATAAAATATACAGAATTGACTTGGAAAAAAATTGAAGCTGTTCCAGCGCTACCTGACCGGTTAGTAAACCTTGAAATTAAGTATGAGCTGGTTTTTCAACATACTTTATTCTACGAAAAATGTCCAAAACTGGATTTAATCCATAATTATTTGTTAAAATTGTCTAGAATTTGATGAAAACGCAAGGTTTGCGTATAAAATAATTAGATTGAAACACGACATTTTATCAAAAATTATGAATCATTTTTTGATGGTACCTGAAAATAATAAATTGGACCAATTTTTAAGGCATCCTATATCCGAAAACTTTACCAAAAAGCAATTTCATTCACACAAGTCTGATAGTAAATCGCAATTTGATACGTCTAGATTTTAGTGAAGTATGCCATTTTGAGGTTCTATCATGGCCAAACTGCAAGTCAAAAAGGAAATCTATCCCTGAGATTACATGTTCAGAAAAAAGTGTACCCTTTACTGGAAACTACATCCCAAAATCTCAGAAAAATGAAAAAAATATCGACGAAAACGAGAGGATCTTAAAATTTCCAAGGAATTTCTTAGATCCATAGGAACATTTTGCTTAACAACAAAGTTTGACAAAAAAAAATGTTGGAAGAGATCAGTGAAACTAGAGGATATTATTCAATCTTGAATGTATTTTTTTTTTTTTTTTTTTTTTTTTTTTTTTTTTTTTTTTTTTTTTTTTTTTTTTTTTTTNTCAATCGTTTTACCTTCTTGAGTGGTGGCTCTGCGTTGTCTTGTTTGCAAAGATTCACATGCTGAAACTGAATAAATTCATTAAAAAATTGTAAAAATCGAAGAAATAACTACCAGTCAGGAAAACTGTTAGTACTTTCATTCAGGTCCAAAATTCTAATCTACATGCCTTCTCCAGGTATAAGATCGTCAGATTATAAAGCAGCATTGCGTCCTTTTTTGGCACAAAAATAGAGATAATTGTTTGACATTAATTCTGTGAAGCACTGGAGAAAGTTTTCCTTTGAAATCTTAAAAACGCATTTTTTGACATAATTCGACCAAAATTGCTTACTAAAAATTTCGCCCTAGCAGACTAAGGTCCCCTTTCGCCATTTATTAAAACTCGGAGTAGTCAATAGTCAACACTTTTTAAAAAAAATTCAAGCTTGATGCTTTTTCTTTTCTTTGGTACTTACAAAGAAGACATTTTCGAGTTATCTTTTATTGGTTTTTGAAATTCAATTCTTTACGACCAACTATTATCGGCATCTGGAATAAAATTAATAACAGATTGGAAAAACTAGAGTTATACTTTATAATCATAAGATAAAACTTACAGAGGACTGATATTAATGAAATTAATATCAATTTTGAGGCTAAATCCGACCGATGATACATTTTGTTGCCTTTAGACTTTTTGAACCGGGATACCTCAAGTAACTGCACAATGCTGGTGGCAAGATCAGAGTAAAATTTTTTAGTCGAGAAGAAATTATTCCTATTTATGTTTATATTCCAATCGGCTCTGTCAAACTGTTCCCACCACTCATGGAGAATGCCAAAAAAAACACAGCGAATAACCATGCAAAATGCAAAAAAAAGTCATCCGTCGAAAACAACCCAATCTGCAAATTTATTGATGGAGAACTTACTGATGAACTTTCGAACTTTTCAGATAAGTGAAAAGAGAAAGTGATATCAGCGCTGCACATGGTTCTCTTGAAGCTCTTAATCTTTTATTTACTTTTCCACCAGTGCATTTACAAGGAAAAGATATGAAATCAGCAACTTTCGCCGCTGTATCAGCCAACGTGATATTTTTTTTAGCACTTAATATTTTGGATGATAAAATTTGAGCTTCTCGGAATAAAAAAATGAGGTTTTTATGATAAAAATAAAACAAGTCGGAACATTCAGCACATGCTCGTTTGATCAGCATTCCGTTAAAAACCTTGGTTTGTGAGGGTTCATTACTGTTGATCTTTTGAAGTCATTTTATCACGTGTTAATTAACCAATTTGCTAACCTCTATATTTTCTCAGGTTCAATTTTGAGGTGCCTAACTTCCGAAAGTGGCAGTTACGTCTTTTACAACTACGACCAAACTTGTGGTCTATTTTGGGAGCTGCTTTACCTTTCTTAGAGAGACTCTTTTTGGAAGGTAACAGCGAAGTAAAAGTAAATAATGTAGATGCTTTGAATGAAATTGAAAATTACTTTTCATATCACACTCTCTTGTGAACATGGGAGTAAAATATCCATAATTTCGTAAGTTTTTAGTGGTTGATTTAATTGGCCGACACGGACTATAGTTTACAGATGAACGAGGAGTTTGAATTTATTGGGCATAATGTAAACTTTTACGCACCGATTTTGAATATATTCTTTAAATTCAATTTGTGGAATTTGCCCCGTGCAATATTCTTGTGGTTATTTGATTCTCGCCCTGTCCGGAGGTGCACTACAAGTATAATGCAGTTATACTTATGATAGTATTGTAATAATATAATATTAATACTTATTATACTATGTAATGTACTATGTATGTATTATACTATGTAATTATATTTAATGGAAAACAAAGAGACTTGTAAAAGACATATTATAATGCAGGCGAAACTGAATATTCCAACCAAGTCCCTCTTCCGCAACGCGGAATTGTTCCACATATGGACGTATTCCTGCCAAACGGAACTATGTGCCTGAAGACATGTACCTTGTACCCTGAGACCCAATAGAATATACACATAAAAGGGCTCACGTCATAATGCATATAGTTCCGTTTAGCAGAAATATGTCAATTTACTGGTTTATGTCTCACCTTTTCACTGTGAATCTAAGATTTCTTTGCTGAAAACAGGAGGCGGAAATAATCAAGGTAGTAAGTCATTATTTTACATGGAAAATCAATGTGTGAAAACATTTTATTTTTTTACACTTGGTTCGTACCACAATAATGTATCAATGCGAAGGGTGGGGGTCTTTTTTGCAATCGATCTTGGGTGGAATGGCCCGCACGGGGGATGAATTCGGTGCTTTAGGGCAGTACATCTTGGTGCAGGCGACGACCAAAGGGTTGGACACACAGAAGCAAGAGTTGCAGCCAGATTTGAAATAAGTTTTGCCGCTCAAGCAACGAGGATCTGTGCGGGAGCAAAAAATCAAATAAAATTACGTCAACGTAAGTCCTTTCTCTCCCTTTAATGTAAATTTAAACCTTCCCTGTATTGCATTAAACAAACTCTGCACCAAGCCAACCTTTGGCTCGGTCGAAGAAGTCAACAATGCACAGATAAAAATATTTGTGTTCTTGTGTTACTTTTCGTTGGTATAAGGAGTGAAACATAAACCAACACAAATGTTGTGTTGATTTTGGTACATTTTGTGGTAAATTCAGCACAGAAAACAATGGAGAGACTGGAAAAATACATTCCTTTGATTGCGGCGTTGCTGTTCACCACTGGTTTTTTCTCATTTGACGTGAAGTTGCAAAATCGTTATTGCTGTCGGTCATCAGATTCATATAATAATTATTCTCTTTCTCCGATTTAACATGTTTTTTTCACTCGTTCTTCTCATTTTGGTATTTTGATCAACTCAATTTTAAAGTAAGTAGATTAATCAATAAAAAATTGTTAAACGCCTTTACTTAAGAGAACTCCTTGATTTAAGGGTCAAAGAGGTACTGTTAGTTATCTGCGAGAGCGAGTACAGAGAAGAAAAAAAAAAGTTGGTTTGAGTGACAGTGGTATGAGTGATGATCACCAACAGATATGCTCGCAAGACCCTAACTTTATTCGGATTCATCAAAAGCATGGTGAATACCAGCAGATGCCTGGTAAACTATATCTTATTGTGTCCAAAATCAAGTAGACGAATGCCAGACTTTACTGTACCTCTGGTAAAAATAGCCATACGTTCATTTTAGTGTGCGCAATAGAGAATTTGCAGGTGTCTGAAATTTGATGAATTTCTGGAAACTACTGAGTGAACTGAACACGGTTATACCCTTGGTTCATGAATTGAACAATTATTGGAGGAGGTATGACAAAATGACCTAATCTGCTAAAATACATGTGTTTAAATGGGGATTGCCAGATGACATCCAAAGGCGGTGCATTTTCTCTTTCTTAAACCTATTTTTATACTATTTCCCATATCAGAAAATTGTTTTAAAAAATACTGTGAAATCTGCTCTTTAATCACTTTCAGATGAGGCAATAAAAAATTTGCATGCAAATTTTCCATTGACGGAATTATTAAGACATTTTACCTGGGCCATTATTGGCTTTATCCGTTTTGTTCCCGCGGTCTCCACGACTGCATACCTTGCGCGTACATGCCGCGACCCCAAAACTCATGCAGAAACATCTATTGCACTCGAAATCAAAAGATACCGATCTGTTTGGGTCATACAACGTCTTACACCTCTCGTCAACACCTGTTAGAGAAGCAGAAATAACGACTCCGTGAGGCAAAGTCAACACGTCGTCCTGGAAAATCAAGACACATTCGTCTACTGCAAATAAGAGATACAGCCGACTGTACTGGAAAAAAGTAGCTTGGATCTAGAGTGCAGACTCTTAAAAACATTGATAAGAAAAAATACTCTTGATTGAATCGGATTTTTGCTTCAATCGAGAATCAAGCCTCTTAATTTAAGCGGATTTCTCTTTTGATTCAAACAAAAATCCGATTGAGTCAAGAGTATTTTTCCTTGTCTCTGTTCTCAAGAGACTGAACCTAGATCCAAGCGACTTTTTTTTCTAGTGTGAATATCTCTTTTCACCGTAAAAGGAACACAAAAATTACGTCGAGCAGGTCAAACTTTTTTTCAAAAAAATTTGAAAAGTTCTCTGATTAAAAAAGTCACTACGACATGAAAATTTCCGTTGTTACATTTTAAATATCAATTGTCATTGTAATACACTTCCTTAAATCACTAATTGTATACTCACTGCAACGAAATACAGCTAAAAATGTATTGTGTTACATTAAAATTGATTATTCTCAGGCTAAATAAACAGGATAAATATATATTACGTGAAATTCTTATGAAGAATTATGTATCAAAGCGCTTTAATTCGTACTTTGTTTAATGGTCCATTCAATCTAAAAACGCGAACATAGAGAACATTCCTAACTTTCCTCAGAAAAATTATGTCATTGAGAGAAACAAGGCAACGTTGGAATGCTCGCGTAGAAACATAACATGGGCCTTTTAAGCCCCATTGTTCGATACCGCGATCATCCTAATAACGGGAGTTCGAATAATCGCGCCGAACACGGTGCGGTCGGCATCAAACGCATATCAGCGCCTGCAAGACTGCAGGAATACCTCTCGCATTGCACCAACCGCAACGCGAGACTTGCGAGAGTCATACGTGATAAATATTCGAAAACGGGTGTAGCCACATTGCCGCTGGCTGGATTGAAGGCGCATCACACTTTGAAGATGACTCGAGACTCGACCGCTCTCCCTTTCCGAGCTTGCGTGACGCTAAAATCGCCGCAAAACTAGGACCACGCGTCATTTTTTTTTGACGATCACTACCCAATTTTCATCATAATTGAAAGACAAATATTGATCTTATTTGCAACGATTCAGAAACTCGGACGATGTTTAAACGATGCAGCGATTTTGAAACTTGATTCGCGTAAAATAATTTTGCTGTTAACGAGCATCGTACATTATGAATATTGATCGTCTTACCGTTATCATAATCAGCGTCTTGGGTTTGAATATATCTGCATGCTAAAAAAAGACAAAACAAAACTAGTCATTCTTTTTCACTTAAACAAATATACGAAGAGAAAATTTGCGAAAATTTTTTTTTCACTTAAACAACTAAACGAAGAGAAAAGGAGGAGTAACGTTTTGGGCCTTTTCCGGCCCCACCTGGATTTTGCTAAATGTTTCATATTTTCAAAGTACTAGTCTTAGGTAGACTCTGTGCCAAATATTAGACCGAACGGAGCCCATGCAAGGGCGCAGCAGCGCCTCAAGCCCAAAATCCTGGAATCGAAAAACAATTATTTTCGTCGACTTTTTCGACTGTTATCACTCTTCGAGCACATGATTCTTATGTATTTTTTTGCGTACTTTTCGTTTCTGGCCTTTTTAAAGGCCTCCGATAAATTTTAAGGGGCCTTATGGCCCATTGTTGCCATTTTTGGCCCATTTTTAGGGGTTTTTTCCATTTAACACATTCAAAACTCAATTTAATCCAAAAACTGTGTACATTTTTGAAAAGTACGTAAAAAAGTGAATAAAAATGGTTAGTAAAATTTTTTCCTATGTTGCCGAATTTCCGAGAAAATTGGTCTCAAAGTGTCAAAAACGGCAAAAAATCGATAAATCGCCGCGTCTAAGGTTCAAGAAAGTGGAGTACATTTTTCATACTGTACCAGATAACAGCTCTTATCCATCCATACAACATACTAAAATATCATAGTTGTACCTGGATTCCCACGATGTGAAAATTGACCGAGATGTCGATTTTAGCGCCCTTTTTATACTTGAAGGCAGCTCTTTTGAATGTTTTTCGACCTTAGTCACCCTCTATGGGTGTGTACTATATGTATTTTTCTACGTACTTTTCATATCTGGCCATAAAAATGGCTTCCTGTGAATTTTAAAAGGCCTAACGGTCCATTGTTGCCAATTTTCACCAATTTTTAGGGGTTTTTTCAAGTTTACGTGTGTTAAACTTAATTTAATCTAGAAACCGTGTACAATTTCGGAAAGAACGTAAAAAAATACANTGGGCTCCGTTCGGTCTAATATTTGGCACAGAGTCTACCTAAGACTAGTACTTTGAAAATATGAAACATTTAGCAAAATCCAGGTGGGGCCGGATAAGGCCCAAAACGTTACTCCTCCTTTATATCAATAATTGCAACAATTGAAATTCGACAGTTAACACGTATGGAGCTTGCAAAATTGCTTGCGATTATGCTGACTGCCTGCGACAAATTATACATGGACGACAGAGATAACAGTATCCCGCCAATTCTACTACCAACCGAATGTATGGTAGTTGATTGCACAGACATTCCCCCTCTTTTGAGGGTCTGAGTTACTGTTTCAGATAACCGGCTATAGCCTGACTAAAGCTTTCAAAAATTCTAGAAAATTCAAGATTCAATGTAATATAGGAATTTTCGATCAAGGTAATTTTAATTTTATAATAAATTTTTATCAGCAACTACTGTTTTCTCAGTCCTTAGAATGATGGACAGATTGTAAATACAATAGACCATAGCTTGTAAAAACCCAGCCTCATTGATGATTAATTTTTTTTCCTAATTATTTTGTTACAATTGTTGCAAAATTAGTGAATATACAATAATTGACAAATTACTTACTGAGAAGTGTGATCAAAGAGATAATCAGCCAATTTGGCACTAAACCTGATTGGTGGAACATTCTTAATGCTGAAATCCTTGAAAAAACTGGTTTAAACTGCAAACAATAATTATTATTTATTTTAGGGAGTAAAAGGAGCTATTTTAATTTAATCAGAGCAAACGACTATAAATTATATTCTGACAAAAACTCATCAAACTATGGAATAGGTTCCACGATTCACACTGCGTATGTAGAGTATTAAAGATTGTTAAACACTGACTAGGGAAAGAGCACAACCAGAAAATTAAAGTTTGTATGAGCCATGTGCCGATATAAAATCTTAATTAATGGGTCTAAGAACATAGAAAGGTTGTGAAAACCTTGATCATACAAAGACAATAGCCTGAGAGTATCTTTTAATCTGTATTTCTCTCACGGGAGATATCTGTGTGAGGAAATTAAAAGGATACTATCTCTGCTTGGAGCATAAGGACCCACGTATTCGCACAGTATCTCAGTGCATTAAAATTCTTTTCCACGAGTGGGAGGAAGAAATTAGGATTTTAATGATTTTTTTAACGATTCTCAGCCTTCTTCGCCATATCCTACGAGACAACACGAAAGAAGGCGGTGATGAGTGTGCTAATAGTCTTTTCAGCCTGCGTAAAATTGCTTTGTAACTTCTGCTTATCGATGATGAATACATCCTTGTATTTGAAGTCTGAATAAAAGTATACAATTCAGTGATTGGAACCCGTCTAATGAGTTTCTCTTGTCCATTAAACATTTTTGGAATATGACCGGCAGTAAAAACGAGCGGGAAAGATCAAATACGTTTGTATTAAATAGAGAAGTGCTCAGCTGCTTTCAATATGGGCGCGTTTTTAAATGAGCAACGTTAAGTGAAAGAGCTCGCCTCACCAAATTTTCAAATAAAAGTTTTGAGAAAATTACAATACCGTTAAAAATATAAATCATAGAAAAACTGTTATCACCCTCCGGACTTGATATGAGAAGCATTAAATAAAAAGCAAAACAGATTAATCCATCCTAAATATTTGAGGACCCTATCCGTCATTTTGTTGTTGAGATGGTGCGTCATTTGAACGCATTGCAACCACTATACGAGAATTCTATGGGCAGGTTGAAATCATAAAGCGCTCTCTATCAGTTGAGCGTTTAAAAAGGAACCGCAATTTTACAAACTTCTTTGTGGTTGCTCCATACTTTTGGTCCGGGTGACAAATGCTGCATTATGTCACCGGGTCAGAATCAAAATTGCAATATCACAGAATTAACATTATAACTAACGAATGGATATCTCAAATAGTTATCGTCTCGAATTGCGTTTGGCGCAATGCGAGAAGTATCCGTGCAGTCTTGTAGGCGCTAATATACGTCCACGCCGACCGCACTGTTTGGCGCAATGCGTGAAGTATTTCTTTAGTCTAACAGAATATGGGATGGGACCTGGAAACGTTTAAATGCACTTTAAGGGCAAAGATTTTTTTTCCTGTGTGCTACAGAATTTTTCGTCAAAATCTCACGATCCAAAGTAACTAAAATTTCTCGTTCACATTTTTGTCTAGAACCTAATATTAGATAAAAAGGTAAGAAATGGAAACATTGCTTGATTTCATGAAATGTTGAGCATTGAGCAGCCTAAAACCTGTGAGTATATGCATTTTACCAAGAACAAATTAGGATAGGCTCTATGAAAATATAATTTAATATTTGAGTTACAATAGTAAGTCATTTTTTCATGATCTTACGGCATGTGAACATTTCCCCCCAATTTATATGTAGATAAGTGAGGAATAAACAGGGAGGTTTGAATTTTGCAATAAAACTCTCATAGGCTTTTAAAATAATTTTAATATCTTAGATTCACAGTAAATACACACATACACAGTAAATCAAAAATATTGATGCTGGAGGTGCCGAAAAATGTAGGGCTCACTCGACCATTCAAGTATTGCTTTCATACTGAAAACTGCCTCTTTTGAGTAGAAAATGAAGGACTCAACTCAATCACTCTGAGTAAATGTTAAGAGGATAATGTGTAATTAAAATATTAAATATCAGTATTCTAAATTAATTCATTGAATCGAATGTCTCTGATTCGCTAGAAATTTGACAGAGTCACAATTTCATCGTTTCAACTGGATCTATTTCTGAACACAGATTTTAAGTTCATGACCCGAAACACACGCGTGCTACAAAAAGCCTAGAAAACACTCATTTTTTGTACATTAGAGTTCAAATTTCAAAAATCTCTTAAAGATAAATAAGAGAAAATAAGTTAAAATCAATTACGTTTCTTCCTATATTCATAAGTCTGCTACTTTCCAAATTTTCAAAATATTTTCTTCCGTACGAAAACATTTGAAATCTTCCGGTAGCATACAGGTTGAATTTTACCTAAGTAGATAGATTACAGCTCAAGTAGGTATGTGCATAAATATCATACATGCAAAAGTAATGCTCATTTTTCGTTTGGTAAACTTCCAGTTTTAACCCTCTAATTCGCTTCATTGCTTGCGGTTTTTATGATTTACGGGGTAGATTCTATGCAAATTTATAGGCTGTTTGCGTTGTATTTCTTCCGAAATGAGAAAGACATGAACCGAAAAGTTTATCACAGTTTTATATACGCGTTTTTTTTTTTTTTTAAGTTTTACTTATGACTTGTATTGAAGTCGTTAAAACTGTTTCTTTCAATGCGCGTGGTAGTCTTTTCTATTCTGGCTATGAGTTGCTCTTGAGAAAGACCCACACCTTATTCCTCGCATGGAAAAACTCTGAAGTGTCTCCTCCCTAACCGGAATTCCTAAATTTTTCTTGATAGTATCGTGAGAAAAACTGGCGTTAATTGAAATTTCTATTTGCAACATGTTCAGAACAAGGTCCTTAACAATCTCACCCAAAAACAAGTAGACTTTTAGAAAAGCCATCACAATGCTTGAAAACTGGTTGACTGACATTATAAAGTAATCTAGAACTGATGGAAGGATATTTTTAATCTTAATAAATACATTTTTTACCGTTTCACGGTAAAACCTAATAGTAAACGGGGCAGTGACAGCCACTGGCAGTGTTTCACGGTAAAATCGAAGACTTCCCAGGGGTGCGATATAATATCCAACAATTTCTAAAACCTTTTCTAAGAGTGGACTAACTACTTCTACAATATCGACAGTAAGACTGAGTACTAAGCCGGGTATGACAAGGAGGTAGAATTCAAAGCTTAAGGCAGTGGTTAGAATGTCCCACAGCAAAGCGCCGACGACTTTGAGTTTCCCAGAGAGACTTTTTCCTGTATCGATGTAGAAGGCACGGCTGCTGAGGTCTGCAGTAGTTTTCAAGAGGAATGTTTTGAGTTCTAAGGTGAAAGAGTCCCTGTGGAATCGGTCGCTGAACCAGTGAACTCCTTCGTTGCCTTGAGGTTCGATGAATATGCACTCTTTGGTCTCGCGATAGAATGCTTTCAGGATTGGCGTGGCGTCATGCTGGAAATAGTCACCTAAAGGGAAGAGAAAATCAAGTTAGTAATCTAGACAATAATACGAGGGTCATCCAAGAAGTAAGTTTCCCTACCTTGTATCTTCCGAACGAAAAGAGATAAATCAAATCGGTAAAAAGTCACATATTAGACATACTCTAAGCTTCAAAAGAAGTTCAAGTTTTTGAAAATCAGTCAAGGGGTTCGCGAGTAAACTTAATTTTACTGAGACAACCTCCTTTCGCCGCGTGCCCACCTCCGGGGTCAGGATGCGCGGAGAGTCGATTATAGAAGACTCGAGTTATCGCCTCTATACATCACGTCAACAAGAAATGTTAAAGTTTTCATTGAATAACTACCTTAATAGTAGTTAGTAGTAGTTACCTTACTTTTTGACGTAGTCTCCACATATTCTTTGACATTTTTGGTATCATCACAGCAGCTTCTTGACGCCCTCCGCGTGGAAGATCTCGTCTTGGCTCCGAAACTAGTCATTGACAGCGATCTGCACTCCCAAATCAGTTGCTTTGCGTAGGGAAATTTTCCCCCAATCCTTCAAACTCTCGTATTTTGACTTTCATTTGTTCCCGAGTGGAAAAACTTCCACGATGGAAGCTATTTTCAACCGATTCAGAGGTACAGATCGCTGTCAATGACTGGTTTCCGAGTCAAGGCGAAAGCTTCTCCGCGGAAGGCATCAAGAAGCTGCTATGATGATACCAGAAATATCAAAAAAGATGTGGAGACTATGTCAAAACGTAAGGTAAGGCCTACTCAATGAAAACATTAAAATTCCTTGTTGATGTGATATATAGAGGCGATAACCCGAGTCTTCTATAATCGACTCTCCGCGCATCCTGACCCCGGAGGTGGGCACGCGGCGACAGGAGGTTGTCTCAGTAAAAATAAGTTTACTCGCGAACCCCTCGACCGATTTTCAAAAACTTGAGCTTGTTTTGAAGCTGAAAGTATGCCTAATATGTGACTTTTTACCAATTTGATTTATCTCTTTTCGTTCGGAAGATACAAGGTAGGGAAACTTACTTTTTGGATGACCCTCGTACAATGGGCCTGTTGCAAACTTTTGCTAGAGCAGAATGAAGAGTTATTTCCTATAGATAATGCCTCAAAAATCACGATGAGCGCATCGGCAAAGTCTGAAATGCACTCATAAATTCACAATCTGCGCAAGAAATTTGCGTTATTTTGAGCTTCCCGCTTCGAAAACGATACTACTGCACAGGTGAACATTTTGTTAGAGGAGTCGCTCCATCGTCGGCAATATTCATCATGGCCGATGCTTGCGCAGTTCCTCGCGTAATTCGAGGAGAACTCAAGGTCAATTAAGGCGGGCGAGGAAAATATGAACGTAAACACGCCGATTGTTATCTGGTTTAATCCTGTTCAGGTGTTATCTCGTCCCATCACACGTATTTTGGCGGACTGGCGTCGGCCATGATGAGTATTGCCGCCAATGGAACGACTCCTCTAACAAAATGTTCACCTGCACCGTAGTATCGTTTTCGAAGCGGGAAGCTCAAAAAACCGAGAATTTCTTACGCAGATTGTGAAGTTATGAGTGCATTTCAGACTTTGCCGATGCGCTCATCGTGATTTTTAAGGCATTATCTGTAGGAAACAACTCTTAGTTTTGCTCTAGCAAAAGTTTGCAACAGGCCCATTGTTAAGTAATCGTCATATGTAGACCTTTTTAAATATTGCTTTAAAAATCTCACATAATCAGTGTAAGCACGCACATCGATAATAGTGAATAAAACTACATTATGACTCACGTTACTTAATTTTTCGACTCATTTAAGTAGTTTCCATGATCAGTCTGTTGCATTAAAAAAAAACAAAAAAAAAGTGTCTCGTTGAAAGTTGTTGAAACATCTTGACGAGCACAATGGACAATTCTGGAATTTTCTCCTATTTTCACAATCTACACAAGAAGAAGTTGCTTATTTCTGGGCTTCTCGCTTGAAATGCAAGAACATAATTTTGAAGAAAATTGTAGAATCATAAGGAATATTCAGTGTCCTTTAGTGAAATGCATGCATTCACTCTCCTTACAATGAATGAAATATTAGAGGAGACTCTGAAACACTGTAAACGAGAAGTACCCTTTTCGCATCCAGTGCCTCAATTGCATTCATGAGCAGCTTCTGAGTCTCCGAATCAAGTTACAATTTCCTGTCCATAGGTACTAAATATAGTTTTCTAAGAAACCGACCCGGATGTTCACAGATTCGACTAGTGGAGGATATAAGCCGCAAGGGATGGTCCTGAAATGGACTACATTTTACAATTTGGAACTATAAATTTTGGCCTGGTTTAAAAACAGCGTATGTGCCATTAGTTTCCCTATGAACATAAGTGTTTTTCCAGAAGAGCCAGAATTTATAGTTCCAAATTGCAAAATGCAGTGCAAATGATCTGTGACTCACCTAATAGCGGTTTGATAGCCTCGGATGCCTCGACAGCGTGGTAGTGGGGCACGGTAGGCAACAAGTGATGGATGACATGAGTATCGGTGATATGGTGGAGCACATGGTTGAAGACCCAGTAGTCGCGATCCACCGTGGAGAGGGCGCCACGGAGCCAGTCCCATTCCGAAGAGGCGTAGCGAGGGAGCGACGGATGAGTGTGGTTCAGGAACGCCATCGTCACGAGCCACCCGTTAAATACGGCAAAAGGAAGGAGGTAGTAGCACAAGAGCCATGAAAACCCGTGAGTCGCGCCCAGAGTGTACAAGATGGCGGTCATCGCTAGCACACCTGCGAAACAAAATATTGTCGTCATATGCATGTATGTGTCAAAAGGCACACACGGAGAAAAAAACCTCGTGCGTGGGACCCGAAGTTTAGGTCATATGGATCTCTGAAGTTTTCAGATTGAGCATCTGAACATTTGAGGTCCAGCTTTGAGGTTCGGATCACACTATGCATGTATGCGTCAAAAGGCACACACGGAAAAAAACCTCGTGCGTGGGACCCGAAGTTTAGGTCATATGGATCTATGAAGTTTTCAGATTCAGCATCTGAACACTTAAGGTCCATCCGTCGAGGTTCGGATCACACATCTGAAGTACTTCAGATGTGAGAACCGAAGTTTTTCGGATGTGAAAACCGAAGTACTTCAGATGTAAGAACTGAAGTTTCAGATGTGTGATTCAAACCTCAGCAGCTGGACCTTAAGTGTTCGGATGCTCAATCCGAAAGCTTCAGAGATCTGTATGACCTAAACTTTGGGTCCCACGCACGAAGTTTTTTTCTCCGTGCAGGAAAGATTTGAAAAGATCAAAAGCACAAAACCATATTTTTAATCGCCTCTTGAATACTGAGGTTTCCTTAGACGACAAAACATTGGTCGAGAAGATGGGCTAAGTTTGAGAGGCTTAAATATGATTCATCTGTAACTGGTGTTCTCCAAAATTCTTGGGAATCCAATGAAAAAGTTGGCTTTTATCTAAAAATCCTGGAAATATCACGTCAGTGGTTCCTCAAACTGTGCGACCGCGAAGGGTGTGTGAGCGCCCAAAACAGCTTTTTTAAACAGTATGGGAGCACTGCCTTGTTGCGGTTTGCGGTAGTTAGCGTCGCGTGGCGACGAAACTTAACGCAACTACACAGCGTTTACAGTGAAAAGTTGACTGAATCATAGAAAAAAAGGCGCCTTCATTTCAAAGAATATGCAACATAGACATCCATTGCGTATGAATAGTTGTATTCAGGCGTCGATGCAGAAACGCTTATCCTGAGTGGGGCGCGCCTGCGCCTATGGGTTTGTTGCACGCAAGGGATAGGTACAGCCAAGCGAATAGACTTATTGTACGTAAAAATACTAAAAAATAATGATAGGTACGTTTCGTTTTGTCACATAGCTGCTAGAAATTTTAAAAACACCTCACTTTTAAAAGACGTAATAATGTAATGGATCTGGAGTAAAATTCTGACACATTTACTTAATATTTCTATGCTTAGAGGATGTTCTTGTACTATTATTTTGTTTACTTGAATAATTTGTGTACAAACTTGATTGTTCTTACCTAAGTCGGAGATTATAACTTTAAGTCGATGAGAGTCTCTAAACATGGGGCTGAACGGATCAAAGTGCGAGGCTAGCCTTTCATAATCGTCTCGGCCAGTCACATTAATGACCAGATAGAGGGGCCACCCGACAGCCATGGATAGCACAACCTTCAGAATACGGCCAGGTGGATTATCTGTTAAGCTATCAAATGTTCCCACAGCGGATTTAGGTTTCGGACAAAATACCTGGAAGAGACAATGGTATTTCTATTCAATTCTTCGGATATGATCATCAAGTGTTTACTTAATTTGTATTACTTATTGTATTGTTTTGTATTTACTATTGTATTACTTAATTTGTAAATCGTAATAAGTGGACTTAATTTATTTAATCTCAATTTTACTATCTGCGGGCTCTCGTTCCCTGAAAATAAATCCCTCGATGAAAATTTGACTTTTTCCAATTGAGCCGGCAATCTGGAGTATTCAAAAGGTGAAATCTTTATATAGTATCCGAGGGAATAAGTTGCAATGGGTCAAAATATTCGTAGCGCCGGAAAATAATACTAATTCTATCCTTACAATTCTGAAGGCACAAACATGGCAGATTAAAACTTCAAAGGACTTTTTCTTAAAACTACGGATTTTAAAATGCAAATTCCAAACTTTCATACCCCATTTCAATTATGTTGGATATTTTTAGGGGTCTTCCAGAAAACTTTTGCGAATGAAAACACGTATTTCTATCAAACGGAACTGTAAGCATTATGACGTGAGCCCTGTTATGCATGTATTTTTATGGGTCTCAGGGCTCATGTCTTAATGCACATAGTTCCGTTTGGCAGAAATACGTCTATTTAGAGGTTCAATAGCATCAAAAACTGGATTGCAGTTTTCCCCACATTATGGTTACTTGGATGTACTCGGATAGTCAGAACAGACACAATAAATAACAAGGTGAATGAACTTTGGCTAACAAACCTCATCATGCTCAGCAGAACCCGTGTTGGAATGGTGTCGCGCATGGGTGACTTTCCATGAGAAGTAAGGCACAAGCAGCGAGGAATGGATGAGGAACCCTACTGCGTCATCGACGATCCTGTAGTTGCTGAAGCCGTGATGACCACACTCATGGGCGATCACCCAGTAGCCGGCCATGATAGTGCCGGCTACGAACCAGTGTAATGGCCACGCCAGGTAGGCCGCTTGCCATGGCAGGATCGAGACGAGCGTTGCTGTTGCAAAGGAGAAGAAGAAGAATGCGCTCACATCAGCAAGCAAGAAGGAGAAGGAGCGAGCCAGGGATCGCTCGAAACAGTGTGGAGGGATGGCACGCTTCAAACCGGCCAAAGTGAAGGGGGGTTTGGAGGTGGGTGCGCGCTTCAGCGTGTTACAATTGTGGTCCGGGAAACACATCTGGAATACAAAGACATGGATTTAACTGAAAGGATTCCTTTGACTCTTTGGATTTCGAGTGATCTTCAATTGAGTTACAAATCTAGGGTAGATTTGGGAGAGTCGACAGCTTGAATTTGAGGAGTTTGAACGTTCCCTGGTATGAGCCTTGATTGTTCCTTGACTGAAACCTCGGACTCTCCTTAACCTGATAATACCCTAAGAAGGGTTTAATACACGGAGAACTCTTTGTGCGCACTGAATGCGCTTTTGAGGAGCTTTTTTAAACTGAAATATTACACAGAGCGTTTTAAAACTCCGATGTATTATTATGTGCTCCAACTTAGAGGCTGATTTATCTTCGAAAATTTCAGAAAACAATTGGGAAGGTTTAGAGAAGAGCACATTACAAAAAAATGTTTAAGAAAGTTGGGATGTTATTTTATTGTAAAAAAAAGGAGAAAGAAAGAACCTTAAGTTGTTGCACAGCTCAAAAATGTTTACGAAGCAACAAAAAGCTGTCCTTTTTGTATGATAAGTTTTTGATGTAAAGATCAATCATCGGTGAATTTTATACGACCTAAATAAGTTTAAAATCAGACAAAATACTTTAACTGAAGTTATGAATTATATTTAATTATCTCCTCCCTATTCCGCACATGATCTGTTTGGTCTGGGCTCTCTTTAAATGCATTTTCCAAAAATTCTAGTATTCTGAACCATTCTGCACTCATTTTCATTCATTAGCATCTACTTCTCTCCTATACTAATGATCATACGCCTTCTTGAAATTTCAAAATTCTTATTCTAATGAATTTAGTAAATGTTTACTTCTTTTTTTATCAAACAAAAATTTAAATACAAAGACATATATTTCGTGTTGATGATGAATATCACGTGAATAATTAATGAGTACACACTTTACCTTGAATGTTGGACAGTTGATCTCCAAATTTTACGAACTTTATAAAAACTTAAAGTCAGCTGTTCTTGACGGGAAAGCACAGCGAAAATTTCAAATCTCGAAACCGATGACGCACGCACTGTCAAAAATTTTCGTTCCGCCCCGAAAACTCAGGACCTCCCCTGGCCGAAACCCCGTTTCACCGGCGGCATAAACTGTGAGAATGGTAACGGATGGCCGTTGGACTCAGGATTTTAAGCAGTGTTATGCTAATTTCACATCTCGTTAATTCCTGCGGATTTTCAGAGGCTATCTCGCTCTCCTCCGCGCCTCAGGACCAAGTTGCCATAAGCCGGAGGACTCAAGTTAGTAAAGTGTAGGGGTTTCCAAACGTTTTCTCGCAGATTATGGCGCTGACTGTTGAAATCTTATATGTTGCACTATAAAATTATGTGAGACTTTCGCGCTTTCAATTAGATGTATTAACATCGATAAATCTTCGAAATAATACATGTTCCGTGACGTACAACAAATTTCCGAAGTCTTATGCATACTAAGTAAATGATCAATGCATGAATGAAATTACAACTGGCGAAGAAAAGAAAAGAAAAAGGGTGCATGTTTTAAGTACCCTTACAATACAAATCCCAAATAAAAATGTCTGAAAAAACGTTTGAAACTTTAATACGCAAGATTGCACTTCATCAATGGGCAACGTTTAGAAAATCTTGATAACCCCTAGAATCAAATGCAAAAATTCAAGTGGGCCAATAAGAAGAAGAAAAAAATCAATATAACTAACTTATAGCGGTCAGTATTATACATAAAACCATTCGGAACACCTTAGATATTATGTAAAACACTATCGGCAGTTTTTCAATCAAAGTCAGATGATTGAGTGAGTCACTTTTTGCCTGACGAAGGTACGATGGTCAGACCTTCTTTTTTGGAAGCCTTTCTCACCTCTAATTTGGAGACTTGAACGATGGGTAGAAAAGTAGAAGAGTTTATAAAAACATATCTGTCGGTAGTTCTCTGGTTCAAAACACACTGATAATGTCTTCTCCATTCAATTCGTCCCTTCTTCCAACTCCTGCGCGTTGAGTCCATCAGCCCCGTCCCCCAGGGGGGCCAGTGGGGGACGGCGTCCCCCACTGGCCGCCCCGAGTAGCACATCAGTGTAAAAAAAATATTTAAATACTTCCGCAATTTAATGCAATAACATTTTAACCATCAATTCCACAATATTTCCCACATAAATTAAAGTATTAAAATTTAATTTTGCTTATTTTCCGGTTAATTCCGTATGTTGCACCAATAAGAGTGATTTTTAGAATTCAACAAAATTTTGATGCCGGTTGTTTTCAATAACTTTCTTTTTAACGTAAATTTTACGTGAAATGGATCCTCTCGTGTCAGAGCATGTATTACATTGGGCTATTTTGTTTAACAACTTTTGATGACAAGTTGAACTCAAAAATGATTAATTTTTTAAAGGTTGCGATAGGCTCTTTGAAAAAAAAAATTGCAACATTTCATACGGATAAACTTCAAAAAGCTCTTAATTATTACTTGAATAATCAAAATTGGTCTAAATATCCACTCTATGAATATTGTTCGATGAAAATAACTTTACGGTATCTTAAGGACTTGAGAAATACGATTTTTTTATTCATAGACAAGGAAAACCATCAAGTAAGTTACAAAAGCTCATATCATCTAATCTTTGTAACTTTATAACAGCCGTTAAAACGTGACAAGGCCGTAAGCATGTACATGCATGTTACATGCTTGTATGTACGCATTTTAAGTATATGTCAATTTTATAGTCCGAATTGTCCTATGAAATTACCCTCGCTCTGTAAATGAGACGTTCACTCGTAATCCTCATTCCTCTGAAGAACCGGTTTTGGTGAATCTGCCCCGATATTTTATTCAGTGAATCGCAGCGCACGTGACGTGTCGATGCCAGCTGATTTTACTGCATCATCTGGTGGTTAATGTGACCGAAGAAGCTTCGATTAGTACTGGACCCGACGTCATATTCCAAGCCTCATGAATTGGATATCAGGTGAAATGAGTTATGCGAATATCGATCGCGAGTCTCATTTTCAGCGCACACGGGTATGATGTTACAAGACTCGAGTCAAACTTACATTTTGTTTAACTTTGATTTTGACGTAAAATTGAGTTTCCCCGCTCCCTGTTTAAGAGAGGCAACTGCAACACGACGGAGCGTTTTGATAAATGGATATAGGAGCAAATTGTGAATTCATGAAAATTTCAAGGCTTTTTTTTGTTTTATAATAATGAGAAGTTTCTTGTAAACTGAGGTGTGGATGTCGTGAGAGAAAGAGAGAGAGAAAATTAAGAAATGAGTTGCTTCTGTAAAAAATATGCGTAATAGAGAATGATAGCGTTCAGAATTTAGCCGTCTCAAAAGTTGGATGCGATTAGAAAATCAGTGAAAAACAAGTGCAGTTTATGATGTGATTATACAAACTATTATCACTATTCAGTTTTGAGTTAAAAAAAAAAATCTTATAATTATGACAAATTTCTTAAGAATGCGTCAGAGTATTTTAACAAAGTAATTTCAGTTTCTAATTATTTCAGACTTCATCGGCTTCAAACCCAGACGTTTTATCTAGAGGAGAAAATTTTAAAACAGGGGGTACATCCGTTACAAGTTTTTTTTACCGAAATTAACAGATTCTTTCCTCTTTTTTTTTAAACCATGAATTGCAGTGATAGGTAGATTATTATCAAACTAAACCTGTTGTTTCTAGCTCTCTCACAGCAAATTCGGTTTACTTCTACAGCGTTTTGCAGTTCTGAAGGAAAATATTCGGTTCTTGCCGGGTAAATCCGGAATTTACCCATTGTGTGACGCCTAAAAATTATTCAAAAGACTTAAGTCATCTTGTCCACTTGTGAGAATAATAGTAAAACTTATAAACCGGATTGTAATGGAAGGACTTTTTTGAAAACCTTTCCCTAGTTTTGTCGAGGACAGCCTGGAAAACCCGACTCATTAGTGGAAACTGAATACTTTTTTATGCGGGCTTTTGAAATTTTCTACCCTTTTTTCTTGCGTGGATTAATGAATTTAAATTGCCGAAAAATTCTTTTGAGGATTTTTCGACCGCAGAGGAAGGGGCCAAGTATTGTGCGATTTATAATTTTGAAATTATTAAACGCGAAATTAGATTCCAATAGTTTGAGCAAAGTGGTTTAAAATTGCCTGAACTGCATGAAGTTACTTCCTTCGCCAGAAAACCGATGCTTCATCATTTTTTCTCAATGTTTGCATGTTTAATACAAAAAGAGCTCAAACATAATTTTCCCATGGCAGAGTATAAGAATCAAGGAAGAGGGTGATTTTTTCAAACTTTGCATTTGAGTATAAATTTTTTACTTCACCTGAGTGATTGCTTTATTGAAGGTCTGGCAAAAAAGGTCGGAATTTCTGTTTAATAAATGTAGAATTTATGTGGTGCAAATTAACAAACACTTATTTTTCCGTAATGCAAGGTATAAAAATAATGAAATACAATTTTCAATGCATAAAACATCTATGGAGCGATTAAACGCTGCGTCTTTTTCTCTCAGAATTACAAACTTCTAGAAAAAAAATTGATGACTTTCATTACATTGCTTCATTGCTTACTTACTTAATTACGTTACCTAGGCCACTGGATTAATAGGAATGTTATCGAGGGAAGTCACAACGAAAACTAGGAACATCATCGTGTCCTTAACAGACAAGATATATTGAAAGAAAAAACGCACCTATCCTTGTCACAATAAGTGGTTTTTTTTCTGCTATTGTACCCTTTTACACTACCCTTCTTTCCTTTTCGTGATGTGTTGGTAAAACATGTGCAAATATATTCAAAGTGTTTTTACATAAAGTCGATTTTATATTTTTTTGGTGTAAGCACACATTTACTATTTCCTACTTGTTTTTCTTTGGTAATTTGTTTTCTTTAATAATTAGACAAAATTAAATTTAAACAATAGACAGGCTACACTACGATTTAGTTACATACAAAATTACATAATTAATCTCCATGACACAAAAATATATTTTCCATAACGCAAAGTTCTTCAAATTGGAGAGAATTACTCTTGAAAACAGGAACGTAACAAATAAAAGTCTATTTTCGAGTTCTAATCATTGTTGCGATTGATTAATTTGATAAAAAGGCAATCTGAACAATATGCCACAGTCCTGTTCGTTTAAAAATCAGTTGCCATTTTATTTCAATTTTCTTCAAAAAAGTTTGAAATGCAAATTAAAAATGAATGCCTTGCTTTCGAGCTTAGAGCTTTATCATATTCACAGAGAATTTAAGTAAAAAAGTCTTGAATTTTTCAAACCTTACCCATTATTTTGCTCAAAAAATGGACATTGGTATACGGCTGCACAAAACAGTAAAGGAAAAAGCTATCTCTATAAATTTCATGAGCACTACATTGGGAGGAAAATAGCAGTATTCATAATTTTGCCTGTCCTATTGACAGACAAAGCCTAACGTGCTATGATGGTCAGTAGGCGTTGATGACGACAAAATGAGTTTATGAGTAAGTGAATATTAAAATAAAAAATTGAGGTAAATTTCATAAGCGAATAACCATTCCGTCATAAAGTTTTCATAACATTTAAGTATCAGTTCAGTTTTAATTTCTTCATGATAAGTCAATGTCATTTTTTGAATCTTGCATTGATTTTCTTTCGCTCTTGCGCTTAACTCTTTCCACAACTTGCTTTTCATCCTTTTTCATTAGTTTATCATGAGCACAGAAGATAAAAGTGGAACATTTCAACAACGTATTTGGAATTAATTAGTTCCTCCTTGTTAATTACGATAACATTTTCAGGGAGATTCTTAAATCTAGTATCACAATGCTTTTATAGTAATTGAAAAATAAGTAAAAATATTAAAATTGTCATCATGCAATTTAAAATACTCGGTAAATTAATGTCATTGTGAAATTGATGAAGAATCATGCAAAGTATCAACCACAGCTCTCTACGAACCGTATAGAGCAAACGGTTAGTGTGGGAATGCTGGCGAGTAATATTTCTAGGTATACTTCTAAGCCTCACAGAGTATGAATGAAGATTGTATTCCAAGTGGTTCAAAAAGAGTAAGTTGTTCTGTCGATCAAAAGCAAAAATCTTAGTAACGAGAATTTGCTGCTACTGAATTCTTGACTATTTATGAGCTGAATGCGTCAAAATATTACTCGCGATGATCGGAGGAAAAAATCCCATCATAGTGTTACAGCTAGCGATCATCTGAAAAAGTCAAGTTCCCGTTCATTTCAGTTAGTTTTTCAGGTATTCAGTGCCTCTCAATAAATTAGCACCAAATTATTTTCATTTTGAATTATTGAACCACTTCAGACAATAAATAAAATCCGTTCGGAAAAATTTCTCTCATCATCCCGCTATCATGAGGAGCCTTGATGATCCGTAAGTGTCACTTTAAACTGACAGTCATTACTTTACACATTGAATGTGATTGAAAAATTTCCGAATTCTATGATACGGTGGAGTGAAAAATTAAATGGATTCTTCTGAATATTGTTGGAATTTTCAACATTATAGGAAACAAATGTGCTGTTGTTGTTGAGTGATGTACATTTTGAGCCTACTCATTTATTTAACTCTGGTCCATCGCTTACCGATACTAGCGTAAATTAGATACAAGCTCAGTTCTAGCATGAGTATTTTGGCGTGAAAACGAGCTTTTGTCAAAATACCGTGGCCAAAATATTTTCCCCCACCCTCAAATCACAACACACCATTGAACCAGTAGACTCCTTTCTTTTCTCCTTCAGGCTCCACAAACACGCACTCTTTCATCTCCCTGTACAGGGATTTCAACACCGGCGTATCATCAAACTGATAATATTCCCCCAACACAGGTTTGATTGCCGCCGTTGCTTCTTGGGCATGGTAGTGCGGCATAGTCGAAAACAAATGGTGTGCAATATGCGTGTCATTGATATGGTGGAAAATATGGTTAAGGACACCATAATCTCTATCAACCGTCGACAAGGCCCCGCGCAACCAATCCCATTCAGCGGACGAGTAATGTGGTAGTGAGGGGTGAGTATGTTGCAACAAGGTCACGGTTACAACAAACGCGTTGGTCACCGCGAGAGGGCAGAAGTAATAGCACGCTAACCATGCAACCCCCCGCGATAGCGCCAGATGGTACAACCCGTAACATACCACCGCGATACCAACATCCGAGAGGAATATCCAAACGCGTTTGGATCGCGAATAAATCGGGCTGTCCGGATCGAAGTGAGATGCGAAGCGCTCGTAAGGGCGTCCGGCTGAGTTGAAGGTCAGGTACATGGTTAGGCCGAGGAGTAGGGTCAAGGTCAATCGGAGTATACGACCGGGAGGGTTGTCGGTGACTCGGTCCCACCAGGTCACGTCGAGGCGTTTCTTCGGCACGAAGACTTCGTCGCGCTCCAAGGAGGCTGTGTTGGAGTGGTGCCGGGCGTGGGAGAACTTCCACGAGAAGTAGGGCACTAGCAAGGCGGAGTGGAGGACGAAGCCCACGGTGTCGTCGAGGGCTGCGTAGTCGGAGAAGGCGTGGTGACCGCACTCGTGGGCTACTACCCACAGGCCGACCATGAAGCAGCCCTGCACGAACCAGTGCAGGGGCCAGATGAGGTACCTGTAATGACGAGGGGTTTTTAATGGTGACCATAGGAAAGAAGAGAGTATTACATGTGTAAAATACACGTGTTCAAATAGAAAATGTCGCCAGATGACGTCATGCGGCGGCACACTTTCTCACTTTTATATATATTTTTCTTCAATTTCTCACGTCACAAGAAAATTATGAAAAATACTACGAACTCAGCTCATTAAGCACTCTCAGATGAAGCAATAAAATTTTTGTGTGCAAATTCTGCATCGGTGAAAATGTAATCTTTATTCCCGAATGTGACAGTGTGAAGGCCCAGAGTACGGAAACAAATCAGAAATTGATTCGCATTGTCTTTACTTTCAGTTTAAAGGGACTCTAATTACAACTCATCCAGCAAAACAGAGGATACCCACGATCTACTCTCAACCTACTCTTTTTATGTCAAGGTACGTAAAACTAAGTCTATTTTCCCTAAGAATTGGCTCTTTTGTGTAGTTTTTACCCAATTCCAGGGGAAAAAATCGGAAATTTTTCTTCGTCTTAATCGACTTTGGTTACGGGTCAAAATTTTGAAATTTCTTCTTATTCGTATATTTTTTTACATTGACTCTTATGGATTTGTCAAGGGACCGAAAATAATTTCATCTTAAGCGGATTTTCGTCTTAACCGTATTTCGTCTTAACGAGCTTTTACTGTAACATCACTCATCGTGTAAAATGAAACATTCTCGTGACTTCAAATAATGTGATTGAAGTACGTACCTGAGGGGCAGAGGTAGCAGTGCGTAATAGGAAGTGACATGATAGAGAAGGGCAATGGCTGTGACATCGTATAGGATGTAGGAGAAGGACCGCAGGACGGAACGTTTGAAGCAGTGAGGAGGGATGGCACGCTTTACATCGCCGAGGGTGAACGGTGGCTTCGAGGAGGGCGCGCGTTTTCTCGACTCGAAGTTTGCGTTTACATCATGTCGAACATCTGCTCCCATTTCCTGACCCTGCACAAATCAGGTCACCAGGTTAGTTTCGTGTTCGAAAACTACGAGCATAAGACTATCACCGAAAAAAAGGATGGTGATCTAACATTCTGGTTGTTGAAAAGGGTGCTATAACTCACAAGACGCTGAATTAACTGCCATATCAGTTAGTTTTACATCTTGAAAATGCTAAGTTAACTGCTTTAGCGGTTCATGCAGCGTTTTGTGAGTTTTTTTTTTTTTTTTGGGCGCGTGTAATGGTGATTTTAAAATTTCCAAGGAAACACCCAGATCCGTAGAAACATTTTGCCTAACAACAAAACTGCACAAGACAAATTTGGAAGAAATTTGAAGGAGCTTAGTAAAACTAGAAAGATTATTCTCGTCGCACACTTTTTTTTATCCAAAATTTTAAATCAGCATCCTTTCTTTTTCGGTGATACTCGATAGGAGACTACACTAAAAAACTGTGAAACCTGAGTAGGTATCAGCTATTGTCAAGAAAAGGGATTCTATCAATATGAAAAAAAAAAAATTTAAAAAAAAAATAATAATAATCTGTAGGATCAATGTGTATGCATACTTGTTAAGTTAATTTTTTTTTTTCATTTCCTCCACCCGTCCTAACTGTCCAACAACAGTAAATTAGGTAGCGTAGATGTTAGATTTTAAAAATAGATGTTAGCTGGTCGGGCTGTTGCGTGATGTTAAGCCCATTCTGTGTAATATCGACCGAGAAACACGTTTCCAAGCCTCAAAAAACGTTTAAAAACTTGTCTCATGGACAACTTCATTTCAAATCTTGGTAAAAAATGAAGTATTTTTCATTGGATAAATTATTCTTTTTAACGTCATGAACCAAACCGCTCTCTTGCTTTTCAGAGCTTCTTATTTTCAGAGAATTTCCCCCCATAAAACTCAAGTCCTCATTTTTCGTCGCTGCTCGAGCAAAATTGCTGTTTTAAAAATTTGCCTCCTTGTCCTGAGGTGCTGTTTCTGAAAATTAATTTATTCAATTCTAAATCGAAGTTGTCGATGCTCGTTAAAATTTTTCGAAAGTTCAAGCGCGAATGCGGCAAGTTCCCCTTCAATTCTTGGCGTGGCAACTTAACTTACAACGCACACTACAGTGCAATGCCGGCGTCATTTCACTTACTTTTCCCCAATTGCTTTATTGACAGACGTCTTGAGCGTAATGCATTATTATGATCTACTGGGTCTGATTTTTCCTTTCCAGCTCTTTTCAAAACGACAGAAAAATCTCAAACGGATTTGACAAAAAAGGGTAATGAAATTGACAAATTTAAAACTCGGCACTTCGATCGAACTAACCTGATTAAGTAAGTCACAAGCACTATCAGAATACTTCTCGACACTCATTTTTAGCTGGTTTCTACGGTAAGACTTCACAGACTGGCTCGCCATATGCGTTGGTGGAGCGCTTTTCGCGGTTTGACGCGAGACGTCAGAAAAAAGATAGAGAAAAACTACCGCTGATATGTTGCATGCACCGTGATGCATTAAACCGTTCGAGAAACGGTGGGATAAAAAAAACATGCTCTCCGATGCATTGCGAAAAGTGGGCATCCTTTTGTGCGCATATTCGCGAATTGCAATTGCATGCCATTCGAACTGACAGATACGCATTCCGAGTGGAACATGCAACTCATGGGATGTTTCTGAGGTGAGAAGAGACAACGGAGTACTAGCTCTGCGTTGATCTAATAAAAATGTTAAAGCTTCTTTGACTTCTATCCTCAGGTTTGTTAGTTTCAGTGAAATTCTCATTCGTCACTGAAAAATCGAGTTCTGGTTTGGGATCCACCCAGATATTCAATATGAAGAGGCGATAAATGGGTGGTGGATCATCAGGCTTTGAGTTGATCCAGAAATTTAAACAATACCCTCTACCCCTTCTATCCCTAGGTTTTTCCATACATGTATACATGTATTGTACACATGTATTTGAGGCACACCAACGTTTGCAGCGACCAAATCGTTCACCCACCAGCGATACTAGTGATACTAGCTCTGAAAGTATTGAGGAACATCTTAGAGCTCTACTTCAACACCACAGTGACAGTGCCACACCAAAACCTATTTTTCTTCGCGTATTTAATGTATTTTTACAAAAATGCGTAAAAAACCGTAAGAAAAGAGTATAACTCCAGCTCGTTGAATCATGTGTTCCGAGTTTGCGTCACTCCAATGGTTCAGGGCGATGTTTAAATGAATCGAATCATGCGGAAATGCCCGTTGTCCAATACAGGTGTTCATAATTGCAGTGGTTTCTTTTGCCCCACGACACTGATGAATGCGATCGATCTCTTTTGTAAACGTTTAAATTTACTTTGTTGAGGGACATTTCGACAGCGATTTTTTGTCCGCATATCTGGTTCCTCTTGTAGTTTATGTTTTTTCGGCAGGGGAGTTCGTGCCGTAATTACCTTAATTTATTTTTGGAGGAAAGCTCCATACTCTTAAAGAGTGCCTATCATGCTTAAAATGTTGGAGTGCCTTCAATTTTGTTTGATATTGTGCAACACCTCTGTTGTGAAATAGTTGCTTGAAGCGCCGTGGCACGCTGCGGCGCGGCGCGGCGGGCGGCTAGCCAACTCCCAACGTGTAATGGCGCCTACAAACCTAAGGGGATACTTCAAGCATTGCGCAATGCGTAAACTTTCCCCTTGGGTTTGTAGGCGTTAGTGCGCGTTTCGTGCCGGTAGCACGCCGCTCCGCTCGAAATTGAACGTTTCTGACTCTAAAAGATCGATGTACATAGTCATACGGGTTAAAACTGATGATTGCGTGCTTCTTGGTTTTTCTTCCATTTTTATTCATTTTTGAATAGTTTCTTCCAACAAACCTCTTACCTTCTGCTCGGACGTAAACTACTGGACAAAACAGGTGCGCGGACAAAAAATCGTTGACGGAATGTCCTGAAACCATAAACTTAGGGGATTATTTATAAAATTGTTCTTCATTCGTAGCGTCTTAAACCATCTTGTGTCTTTAAGTTACAACGAAATCGTCCACTCAAATTCTGAAACACTGTATCGGACATCGGACGTTTTCGCATACGCCCATTCAAATAGACGTATTTCTGTCAAACAGAACTATGTGAATTAAGAAATGAGCTCTGAGACCCATAAGAATATATGCGTAACAGGGCTCAAGTCATAACGCACATAGTTTTGTTTGACAGAAATGCGTCCAAATGATCTCTCAGGGAGTCATACTCAATTCCTGTACCTGATAAAATACATACGTCTCATTGAAACGCGCGAACCAACCATGAATGAGTAGACTTGGCAACGTGGGAAGAACAAAAGTTAATGGATGAGTATCGTCTCTATACTCCGCACATCTGTTATTCGCCGAGCAGCGAGACTAACTGCCCGGAATAGGCCCCTCTTCACCACTGTAAGTCATGGAACGGCGTTAATTCACGAGCGAATGCTTGTCGGATTGCATATTTTAATTCGTCTTTTTGATCGAGTCCAGAGGAAGTCTGAATCCATTCGACAACGTCGTAGCACACCACATGTGCACTAGGTGTTTCATTCTCCATTCTTGGCTTTTTTCTAGGGATCAAGTGCATGAATGTGTCAAGTGGCTCTTTTTACAATTTTAAGGACACAGGTTCAGAACTGGATAATTTCATGAAAGCCAAATGGCTTTAGAAAGTTAAAAGAGGAGAAGTGGCTGCAAAATTAAATATCTCGCATCCTTTCTTTTGACATTATAGTCCTATCCGACTGGATACATTATTATTGAACATGGGTGTCGTGGGATTGCATACGCATAATTTTGTAGGCGATTTTTTTTGTTTGCGCTGACTCTAAAAATACTTTGAGAGTGAAATATCTGATCCTCACTCTATTGAATATCTGTGTTACACTTTTTTTTATTCACTATACACCTAGTGCAACACAATTGATATTGACTTCAACAGGATGAGAATCCTTGTCTTTTGGACGTCACATAATCTAATTCTCAGGTAAAAAATCGTGTTTGATTACCTACTGATGATTGAGGTGTATATTAACATCGATTAGCTTCATCATCTGGGATATTAGCAAGATATAAATCCATGCAAAGAGTAAGAAGTCATCAGTAAGTGACTTCATGACTCATCATAAATTATTACCGTACAGCACAAGGCTTAGTTGTCAAATTAATCGTGGGCGAGTGAGTCTATATCAAGAGTTGAGAGTATCTGTGGAATTCTTAAGGAATTTGGAAATGTACCCGTGACATGGGTTTTAGAAAATTTTAAATTGCGAGTATACTTAGAGCCACTGCATTATCCCATTATTTTGGTGTTGTAATTCCTATATGTAATATATACCTCACTTTTTCCGATAGACCCATAAGGTATTACAAGTCATTCAGCACAAAAGTTTCACTCTAAATACATCTACAACGCGATTAAAACTGTAGTTATAGAGATCGAATCGAAAATATAGCTCCTAATGCCTAATCAGACTATAACTTCAGGAAAAATAGTTGTCTTAATTAAGACGATTCTGTCTATCAAATTTTAGTATACCCGCCCGTATGTCACAAACATGTGCGCCGTTTGTTGAACTGCAATCTGCTGAGATTGAATATCAGTTACAGAAGAATATTGTCCGTTGATACCGTTCGGTTAGTTTCAATTCCGGCGTGCAGTCCTTTAATTATTATTTAATGCAAGATCCATTCATTCGATCTGTAGAATGAAAGTACTGCTACATTTCATACACTATTAATTTTAATAGAGCGACTTGAAAAGAAACAGACAAGTAAATCGACAAAAATGCAGTGAAATGACAAAAAAAATGCGCAAGAACCACCCCTTCATTCCATCGCTTATGTAATTTCAGCCACCCCAATTGAAGTTACGACGCTTATTAGAATAAGCGTTTTACTATCAAGAATAAAGTTCTCTTAAATGTTTCATAACCGGGCCTTCTGTTCTAAGAAGCATCAAAATAATTTGAAGTTTCTATGAAGTTTTGTGACGACATAAAAACTATTTATACAACATCAATTCTTGCGAAGATTCGAAGGACTACATCTAGCACCACTCCTAAATACATGATTCCCGCTATCAGTGTCCGAAACTCACCTTTGAGTTTTCGGAGCCAAGTGGCGCATCAAGCCTGCTTTTTAGGCGGCATTGAAGATTTTTTAGGGGCCAAATTGACTTTTTGCCTATATATTACGGCGCATTTAGTGAAAAGTTAGACGCAAGATGTTTTCATAATAGAATTAGTAAGTAGCTGTAACTTGGAGAAGACAAAAGCACAAATGATGAAATCGTGAAGAATAGAAAAAGCTTTCTATTGTAGTGCTGACAATTTCGAATAATCACCTGTTATGCAAATTCAGATTTTTAGGGGGCAGTTTTTAGGGGCCATGTTGGCGCAAAGCCTTCATTTTTTAGGCGCCATGGCCGATTTTTTAGGCGCATTTGGCGCGTTGGCGCCCGTGAGTTTCGAACACTGTCCGCTATTAATACAGTCGTGGTTAGATTCTGAAGTGACACCTACCTCTAGTTTTAGGTTATCCTGTTCTCCTCAAGTGAGGGCTTGGTTAGCGTGATGAACTTTGAACCGACACTCCACAGAGCCCCCGGGCACTCAATTAAACCTATCGCTCAGAAACGCTCGCCTCCCTGTCCAGCGCTCGCCTCCAACTCTCCGAACGGAAGTACGCGAGCGCGCGCGCGTATTCCTAGCTCTATCTCTAAATCATCTGCGCCGATGCCACATCCAGCCACGGAAACCCATCTGCCTTTCAGTAAAAGCCTCAGCAAGGCTCACTTTCGTCCGATTGCCAGTTTATGCTAAAACATGTGTAGGCTTGAACATAATTTGCATAAAATGAAATAAAATGTAAAACTCACCAGTCAGCGAAATTACAGCAAAATTACCGTCCGACGCGCGTTTCGACCCGTTGCGTTGGATCATCATCAGGGCGCGACTCTGATGAATGATGATCCAACGGGTCGAAACGCGTGTCGGACGGTAATTTTGCTGTAATTTCGCTGACTAGTGAGTTTTAAATTTTAAATTTTATTTCATTTTAAACGTGACCTAGTCTGGTACTTTTTAAATTTTAAATATAATTTGCATAACCATATCCAGAAATTGAAGAAGTAGGGTCGACAATCGAAAATCCTCGCACTTCAGGAGCGACACTGACCAGACAGCGATTAAACGCTACATTACACTTGTTCATGAGACTCCATCTTTACATTTCTAAAATCCCGCGAGGATTAAGAATTAATCTAGACCAATTTCTCGCAATTTCTTCGAGCGAATATTAATATGGATTACGTTCTCGGTGAGATCGGGCTCGCCGTCCCATTGCCGTCTCGTTTCATTCGGAGTGGCGTAAAATTAATATGATGAGTGAGTATTGAAAAGTGGAATGTAACCGCACCTGGCGCTAAATGAAGACAAACGTGGATAGGGAGACGGAAAATTTTTAAAGTTGAACAAGTTGGTTTTTGCAATCGCTAGCGATAGCAATATTCGTCATGGGAACTTTTGCTTCTGGGATATGAAAATGTTAAGGTACAGTTCGTTTGTAGTATCTTCAGGATTGAAGGGGCTATATAATTTTGTGTCGACATTTCTTTTTTAACATTTTTAATTTTTTTTCTTTGCATACAAGAAAGCTGTTATATTTACCAATTATTTATTTTCGTTGGATTATGTATGGTTTTCGGAAGTTAACGCATTTAACTTTGAGTTTCGTTTTTTCGGCGTAAAGTATGATATTTTTACTCTACTCATATGCCCGAATACGCATCATAAGTGACCTATGTGCTTCCTAAGTTGCCATTTTTTTCATTCAAATAGATGTAACTGAAATGTTAGATGTGTACTACCTATACTACTTTCACGTCATTGCTTTATTTATTTATTTACTTTTTGTGTAGGTATAAATTGTTATTTTTTGCTGAATTTTGGAGAAAATATTGCTTTAAGAACGTGGAATGTAAATTAATTTTATTGAAAAAAGAAAATACCATCATTGATTTGGGCGAACAGAGAAAATATACATCAATATTTGGGTCAACATCTCCCTGATTATATAAAGGATGAATATATTAGTATTTCTGTATCAAAAAACTTAGCTTTTGTCTTCAGAGATACAATGATTCTAGTCCCAGTCAATTTGTTGTATTGAAAAAACAAAAAAACAAAAAATAAATAAAAAAAAAAAAACAACTGAAATGTTAGACATACTATTTTCATGTCTTTCTATTTGTATCAATAGGTACTTTTTGCTTAACTTACGAACGTTGAATGCAAATTAACTTTATTGAAAAAAGAAAATAACGTCATTAATTTGGGGGAACATGTGGCTGATTATATGAAGGAGGTATATTCCAGTATTTTTGTTTAACATATTAACTCACGAGAAAATGTTCGTTCATTTATCATCTAGTATTAATTATTTTTTGATGATTGGTCTAAAACATTCAATACAACCATTAAAAAGTAACACCTAACGTCGGGTATCGAACTCCCGATCGCCTATTGCCCGCACCTTATCAATTTATGAGGCGCCTCAGTCAACTAGGCTATCACAGATCAGCGACAGCACGAGAAAAAATAGCATTTAAAAGACTCGGACGATGGGCGGGACTTATCACAAGAGTTGTCCTTGAGCGATTCGGCGATTCGCGTCTTCGTAGCTTCTGGAGAAACGAGCTAAGCGCCTTTCTCTGTGAGACATTGTTTGCCTATGCTATCATGTGTCTCAAGGTTCATATCAGCAGGCATTTGCCATCGCGGCAGTAAGCTCAGGCAATATTTCTGTATTCATGGAATAAATCAATCAATCGAGTTCCGATTTTGGCTCATATATCCGTAACGAGTCCTCCAGAACAATTTTCCACCTTGTACGATGGTTATTATTTCTTTACTTCTATTTTTCAAATTTGAGGTGGGATAATGGCGGCTTCTCAAGAGCAACGAGGTAGGCGATCTTTTGCACCAACGAACAGAAAACTGATGGCGAAAAATAACCAATCAGAACCTCCCAAAAAAAAGAATTTGCCTAAAAACGGAACTTCGTGGTTCTGCGCAGCTTTACCAGTCAGACACGACATCTGAAGGTGGAAAAAAACTCGCTGAAAGCGAATTTTAGCAATCAACACAACTTGACGTAGAGACACGATTGGCTAAAAAATACAACGGTTTTTGATACATCGGAAAATCAACCAAAAATCGGAGACTGGGCGAAACGCTCAAGGTCGCAGAGGTATAGGGAATCCCATAGCGAAAGCAACGGAACGATTGTAATATCATGGGGAACTCCGTTCCCATGACAAAAAAGAACTCGTAGAATTCAAATTTAAATTTCAATTTAAGTTTTTTTTTTTCAAAATTGGAGGAGGTTGCTCAAGAAAAATTGACGCAACGGAGGCACTTTATTTATAGGACCAATGGTGACAGGCAGTGGCGCGGCGTGGCGTGCATTGCGATATATCGATTGATCTGCCATTTAAGCGAATGGGAAAGGATCGATAAACAGGGTGCTCACCACGAACACCTTAATAAGCGATTCTTTACCACAGCTTCAAATGGATAAATATCTAGAATCGATCGTTCACGCCTCGCCTGTGGTGACAAGTTTTCAAATGTACGAGCTAATCCTTCGGACGATCGGATTACGTGAAATTTATAATCCAGGGAGTGGATTGAAATTTAAAATATTCTGCTGAGGCATAATTAATTGCACCCTCAGTTTTACTGGCGTTTTTTCGTCACCTGTCCAACTAATGTAAGCCAATGGACCTCCAAAAAGGGTCAGAATGGAGATGTTGCATGTGTGAGGAATTTGCGATTTTACCATTGATTCAAAAGTTTGCGAGAAACACGATGGTGCCACTGGTTTTCTCTGAAATTAACTCCCAAGCTCAAAAAAAAGCTCTCAAGTTGTGGCCAAAATGGAGGGTGTATCCCACCCTACCCTGAGAGTCCACGTCTACATCAAGACAAACTCTCTATGCAAAGATAGAGAGCAAATTCATTGGCAGGGCTGCCACTTTATTTGGGGACTCTAACACTGTAGAACACGGCATCACTGCTAATGTATTTGCTCCCTATCTTTGCATAGAGAGTTTGATTTGATGTAGAGGTGGACTCTCAGGATAGCGTGGGATATCCCCTCCATTTTGGCCACAACGTGAGAGCTGTTTTTCAGCTTGGGAGATGATTTCAAAGAAAACCAGTAACACCATCGTGTTTCTCGCGAACTTTTACATAATAACCAACAGTCAAATCGCAAATTCCTCACACATGCAACATCTCCATGTTTTGCCATCTCAATGAGTCAACGCGATGTGAATGCGAGAATGTGAAAGATTGGCTCATTGTGATCACAAAAATTTAAAAAAAAACTCGACAGCGCAATCCGATCAAGGAAAACATAAAATGCCATGCTCACAAAAAATCTAATGTAAGATGGATTCATGTGGCCGAAACAGAGATAATTTTCTTATTTTAAAAATAATTGATGTTGGATTCCACAGATCTTTTTTTGGCACTGCGGCATTTGAAAATTTGTCGAAAAAAATTCAGCACACGAATGAAATTACCTCATCTGAAGGAGCACTAAAATTAGTTTGGTGACCGATTTGATATTGATTGAAGAAGACTTTGGTGTTTTGGAAATAAAGGTCAAGTATGAATGTGCAAATACGAAAAATCCTTATGACTCTTTGAAGAGTTGATTTTTGAAAATTGTGATGTTTTTCGGTGTACTACGAGACATTTTGAGAAGGCCAATGCGCTTAATTCCTTACCCTCTTTAGTGGTCAATTATTCAGATTGTTCCAGAAAAAATGAGCCGGTTGAAATATCTAGAGGACGCTATTTGGTTTCAAAAAATCTTAAACAAGCATTCCTCTATTTTAAGACAGGCACCTTCTAGTAGTGATATCCATAGGCGAATCCAGCAAATTGGCAACATCGTTTTTCTTCATTTAAACCTATGGAAATGTATCGATTTTTTGTGGGGCCAGATGCTCCAACAAGAACCGATTGCTTACCACAGGTTTAAATGGAGGAAACCCAGTGTTGCCAGATTGCTGGATCCGCTTCTGGTGATATCCTTAGCGATACTGGCTCTTTTCATGCTGGATTCCCTGATCCCCTTGATTTATTTCGATATATTATCAATAGTTGCAATTCAGTGGAGAAATGTGTCGGTCATTCTTCAGTGAATCTAGGAATTATTTTTCACTTATCGGTTGAATAGTTTATTTATAAATTTTTGAAATTCAGAGTGGAATACATTCTGTTTTATTGCATGTGCAATATCTTATTGAGCTTGAGCAGTTAGGCCTTGAAAACAAATTTCAACAGCAATACCAATTATCTACAATGAAGCCATCTAATGGAGCGCTGAGTAGACGTTGTTTCAGCAACTTGATGGTAGAGTTCTTTTTAGAATCGTTTAAACATCTAAACGTAAGAAATTTAAGCTTTAAACCTCTCAAGCTTTTAATCGCAAAAGTCCAGCGTTACTGGGTGGATTTCAAAAGGAATCTAGATCAAATCCCTCACAAAAATTAAATCGAAAACAATAGCCGAATAAGCCAATAACAGTGTATCAAAATTTTTTCTCAATTAATCATCAGTTTTTGTTTCTAAAAACAGCAGCTTCCAAAACTTTCTACTTGTTTGAACAAAAGAGAATGTTTCCAAAAAATTTGTAACATAAAGCATCGTACTTTAAGGTCCTTTCCGGCGAACTTTGTTCATTTGTTCATTGTTTATTTGTATCCGGAGAAAGTAAAATGGTTGAGTACATTTACTCTCTCGTAAAATTGCCTCTATACACTCATTTTTCTCACATTCGTCGCCGTCGTCTCAAATTATTGCATCCCATTTCCAGCTAATTTTAATATTTAGCATTAGTAGATAATTATACCCTTGCAACCACGCACGGTTGTGAAATGATGAAGCACAGAATTGAATATTTGATCAGCTCCTCTCTGAAAAGAAGAAGATCTATTTTTACAGTGCGGTGATAGTGAGGATTTCTGACATGCTTCAGATGAATATGAAAATGGATAGCTAACTAGAACTAAGTGCAAATGGATTAAATCAAAACGAGCTACGCACGTAGTATTTGCACATTGGTTTTTTACATAATTCATCCTCACAGAGTTCCTTTTACAGCGAATACGCACAAGTAGCTGCAGCAGTTTTCTACGATGGTATCATGATGGAGTGAGTCCTTTAATGCTTAGAAAAGAATGCGTAGCTCTAATTTTTAAGGGATTATCTGGTTACATACCAAAACTTTGATGACAATCGAAAAATAATCACCATTTGGTACTTTCTGGTACCACTGACTCACTGTGCTTTATTTTTTGTCCAAATTATACGTTTGCATTGTTCGATTAATGAAGATGTAAACTTACTAAAGATAAAATGAAACTTTGAGAAAATAAATAATGTTTTATTTAATTTTCAAACCTAAAGTATAAGTCATACACATGGAATACTGATTAACAACTAATATACGCATAAAACACAGCCAGATGACCTGAATGACCTCATTATCCTATATTTAGGATCCAAGAAACATCATTTCATCACATTATCACAGGTTTTCTTATTTCAAATACACATAAACATATTTTTAAAGGAACAAATAAATCGCTACACAAATTTTCGACAAGCATCACCACAACAGCCGATTGTTTTTCGAAGATTCAAACTTTTTGCCTGTATCTATAAGTGCTAACTATGAAAGTTAAGAATAATCAAAACCTTCAAAATATCTAAACTATCTAAAATTCCTTAACTTTTAAAGTCACCCAGTTTCCAATCTCAACAAAAAGTTCCATACTTTTCTCCGGAGCTGTGCGAGCCGTAGCTTTGTAACACCAGTCAGTATATCTAAAACTCTCTGCGAGTAATCATTCAAAAATCCCTAAATTAACACAAATTTAAAAAATCCTAAGTTCAGCATCCCTGAATAAAATTTAAATCGTTTCTACCTATCTGACCGACTCTTTTGCAGCAAGGGACTAGTCCAATTTATCACTGAACCACCAAACACCCTTGCTGCGCTCATCAGGCTCAACATAGACGCACTTCTTGGTCTCTCTGTACAGGGACTCCCAGATGGGCGTTCCATCGAAGACGAAGTACTCCCCGAGTATCGGCCTGAGGGCCTTGGTGGCCTCGACGGTGTGGTAGTGGGACATCTGCGGGAAGAGGTGGTGGGCGATGTGGGAGTCGGTGACGTGGTGGAAGACGTGGTTGAGGAAGCCGAAGTCCCGGTCGACGGTGGAGAGGGCGCCCCGGAGCCAGTCCCACTCGGAGGAGTCGTAGTGTGGGAGGGCGGGGTGCGTGTGGTTGAGGTACGTGACGGTGACGAGCCAGGCGTTGCAGACGAGGAGGGGGGCGGCGTACATGCGGAGGAGCCACGGGAGTCCGTGCGTCAGGGCCAGCTGGCAGAGCCCGTAGGAGGCGACTGCCACCCCCACGTCGGACAAGAAGATCAGGAAGCGCTTGGATTCCGGGTAGATCGGGCTCGAGGGGTAGAAGTGGTTGGCGAATCTGCGGAAAAGAAAACGACCTCTTAGACACCTGCGACCATGGGTACTAACCGACCATGGGTAGATGAAAACGGTTAAGGAGTTTAAAGCACTACACAAGAGTACGTAAAACTTAAAATTTTAAAAATTTTTTAAAAAATTTACAATTTTAAAACTTTTTTAAAATTTAAAATTTTACGACCATGGGTAGCCTACGACCAGCGTGCATGGGTAAACAATGATTAATACAATAGTATAAGGCATTAAGCGGCCACATACGAATCACGATCATACATTTTCTGGGGGTCACTGAGGCCCCCCAGGCCCTCTAGGAACCCGGGCCACTCTCATAGTGGCAAAACATCCGGATTTTAAGACGCTCATAGAAACTTCAAAAGCATGAAATTCCTTTAAAAGTGCGAGACGTGGCCAGCAATGGACTGCATTTTGCAATTTGGAACTATAAATTATGCCTCTTCTGGGAAAACACTTTTGTACATAGGGAAACTAATGGCACATACATTATTTTTAAACCGGGCTAGAATTTATAGTTCCAAATTGCAAAATGTTTTGTGCAAAAGGCATTATTTGGACTAAATAATGCCTCCAAGCTCATTTCTTGAGTAAAATTGACATTTAAGGAAATGTCATTTTTTTTTGGCAGGAAATTATCAAAGAATGACAGGAATCTGTTTTACATGTGTACGTATTTCTGCTAAACAGAACTAAGCGTCGTAAAGGTAAGAAGAGCGGGGGTAAGAAGGGGGGGGGGTTGGATCGGTGGGTGCAGCTGAATGACTAGCTCTGCCCGTCATTATTGTTCACATCATGCAATGCATTTCTATTACGCTTAGATCCGTTCGACAGAACGCGCTATCCGGGATTCTAATCCTCAAAAGGAACCGAATTTGACGCTTAGTTCCATTTAGCAGAAAAACGGCCATTTGCACTCCTTTCCCGGGAAAACGTTTGGCATCTGTCACAGGTATCCAAATCCCTGCAACTTGCCCTTTTTTTCAAACTTCTAAATTTTCTTCAATATTTCTCTAACTCATCTCAGATGGCTGGATTTGTTCATTTTCTGTATTTCTCAGTCCAATCTCCCAGTCATCTCGTATAATGTCCCATTACTTTTATTACCAGACTTGCAGCTGATACCTACATAGATTATAGCCAGCCAATAGCGTGTAGACTTGTTGTCTCACCACCTGTGACGTCAACAAGTCTATAAAAGCTCGTGCTGACTAAAATTCGGGGTCTGTCTGTCTACATCTACCTCTTCGGGTCACCTCTTAACATCGCTCTTATTCAGACCCATACTTATACACTGTGTGAATTATGAAATTGTGTTTCATTCTAAGTTTTTTTAATACAAACCGTTCTTGCACCAATATCTTCATCTTCAATTCTTTTGCTCTCCCACAAACTCTCAGCTATTTTAAATCTCGATATTGTGCTTCAACTCTAATTCATTGACAGCATCTCTACTGAACACAACGGTGTATTATAGTGTCACATGCTTGCATCAGACAGCGAACTTACTTATCGTAATGCCGTCCGGAAACGTTGAGGGTGAGGTAGAGCGGCCAGCCAACAAGGAGGGAGACGGTGAGGTTAAAGATGCGTCCGGGGGCGTTGTTGAAGTACCTGACGAACCAGGGCACGGACTCCCGCTTGCGGGCTACGTAGACTTCGTTGCGCTCGACGGAGGCCGAGTTGGCGTGGTGCCGGGCGTGTGAGAGCTTCCACGAGAAGTATGGCGTCAGCATGCAGGAATGAAGCACGAACCCCACCAGGTCGTCAACCCATCGGTAGTCACTGAATGCATGGTGACCGCATTCGTGACCTGCCAAAAATCGTTATATTGTACACTAATGTTATCAATCGCAGACGCCGCAGAGTGGATCGAGTCAATGCGGGAGGTCGGACAAAATTTGGAAACTTTAAACGCTTATAACTCCGTTCATACAAAACTCTGAGGTTCTAAAAGTGGTTCCATTGGTTTTCTCGTGAAATTTTATTTAAGAAGAGCTCCTTAAAGTTTGAAATGTGACGATTTAAACTTAAAAATTTGCAGTTTTAGTCAAAAATTTCATGTCCGACCTCTCTCATAGACTCGATCCACCGTGCGCCGGTAATAAATCGTCACCTTCCGGCCAAAGTATCACAAGAGCGATGCGACGTGTACAAATTTCTGCCGCCATTATATTTTTTTACAAAGAAATTGTTGGCTAAATCTGTTCGAAAATTTCACTGAATTTTAGCGGCTGTATATGCATAAAGAAAATTCAGTGAAATTTTTGGACAGCTGTGTTGAACAATTTCTCTGTAAAATAGATAAAATGGCGACGAAAACGTTTGAACGTCGCATGGCGCTTGTGATATTTTGGTCGGAAGGTGGCAAAATACAGACCCTGATAAGGGATGGGTATGCAACGGTAGGGAAAACAAAACTTGTAAACTTCAACAGCGATTCTGAAAATAATAACATCACTCTTAAATATCTTTGAAAAATTTACTCTAATGGGTGTTTTACTAAAAATCCTTACATCGCACGGGGAAAAAAAGCAATGATAATAATTATAACTACATTCCTGGCTGATTTTTGCATTGGTCAGGAATGCAATTGCATCAGTTAGAGGTATTGTTTGATTCCATCACATTTCTGGCTGACCTAACCATACTTTTGGCGAGCACAACTACACTTCTGACCGGCACCATAATCAGCCAGGAACAAAATTGAAATTATAATACTTTTTCCCCGTGATTTCATTGATAATGTCATAAAAGTCCCTCATCGCTACAGATGGATTTTGATGTAACTTTCTTCTTTTTTTTATACGGTTGCATTACATATAAATATGAAAGTCTTATTGATGGAATGGAGCATACCTAATATCCAAACGCCGAGCATGAGTGTGCCGGCAACGAGCCAGTAGGTAGGCCAGAGGACATACTGTAGCCGGAGGGGTAGCAAGGGGATGAAACTGGCTGCGTATGCGATAGCAAAGAGAGCAGAGAGATCATAAAAGACGTATTTGAAAGAGCGTAAGAGGTTCCTTTCGAAACAGTGTGGTGGCACAGCCTTCCGGAGATCGGCAAGCGTGAAAGGTGGTTTCGCAGCGGGAGCCCGCTCAGGGGTCAAGCAATTACCGTTGACGTCAACTGAGTCAGTAGGGAAAAGCACGCCCATTCTTTTCAAACCTACAGAATCAAGAAAGAGAGAAATTTAAGGTGGCAAAGACTATGATTCTCCAATAATTTAAAAAAAGGGGTTTATTATGTAGATGATATGTCGCAGGCAAAACGTGAAAAACAACAAAAAGTCAAATGCCTAGTCGAGGCAGACAGTCAAATTTTAATAGTTTACAAAATTTTGTGAATTTATGACAAAGAGCTAACGATTTTTCACTATTTTTGGGAAAATAACTCATGAAACCTGCGAACTCTTTTTGTCTCTTCCTCTTCAATTGCTTCTCATATTTTTGAATGTTGAAATTCTAAAAATTCTGTATTTTATGCTATGCTGAAAATTTCAAGACCAATGTCTGTTCAGGAGCTGAAAATCGTTTAAAATACTATTGTGTGGTGCAAATTATTACTGCGAATTTTTTCTTGCAGGAGCAATGAAATATTTTGTCTGAAATTAGGAAAAAAAATCAGAATTTCAATCTACGTTAGAATATTTGACTATTTGCCTAGGCATTTGATGAAATGCCTGATTTGACTATTTGCCTGCGATAGATACACCCTCATGCGCTGACACATAGTTGAGGCGTTAGGTGTAGAAAAGGCATTTCTTGGTTGCGATGTTTCAGAATCTTTACTGTTACTTTATATCTTAGAGAGGAGACCGTTCAGAGAATTCTCTGAAATTTTTCGTTTTCGGCATCGTAAAATCATAAAGAAATTTCAGTAAAATTGTCAACAAATTTCATAAATTTGTTTCCATCATTTACGTGAAACGTTAACTGAGAATATGAGACACTGCAACCAGAAAATACCCTTTCTGCGCCCAGCGCCTGAATGATGTTTAAATAAGGGTCACGTCAAGTAAATAGTTTCGTTATTCTCTCGTAAAATCACTCTTGTACATACATACATTGAATGAGATGAGCGCTCAAAGCCACCAATTTCAAAATGCCGCAAAGGACCTGCTTAAAAATTCCAAGTATCGAAAAAAGGAGGTAATCCAACATCGGTGTTGTTAAAAACAAGCAATTGTTGACAGAGCTCTGAAAAATCGAATAATGTTTTCCCATCTTCTTGTAGCCGTATGGTGTTAACAAGAGTAGTGACTGTTAAACAAGACTGCCGTATAGATAATATTAAAGTGTTACATACATACATATGTTAAGAGTCATGAATCGCATTTAATTCAGATCCCTCAGATCGAAAACAAAACATGAAAAAAGGCAAAAGAATATTTGGAAGCCAACTTACGTGAAATGTGAGAATCCGCTCCAAACTTTCACCAAGTTTCACTAAATTTCACCTCAGTGCGTAGAAATGTTCGCAAAAAACTTGCCTCGGCTTTTTTTCTGTTTGTTGATGGACGCGCACTCTTAAATTAATTTTTGTACAAAAAAAACGTAAATTTCAAGCTAGAATTTCCATATCATTGGAATAACGATATTAATACTTTAAAATAAATAGCACCTATAATTGTTCCTCAAATTTGGGCAAATTTTAGCCTTTAAGTTGCAAAACTGATACATAAATTGATTTTGAAAAATAATGATAAAAATGAAAAAGCGCGAAAAAAAATCAAGTGTTTCGTCGTAAATATGGAAAAAAAACAGACTTCACTTTTATCACCACAAACCGTTAAGGATGTTACGTCTCTGATACTCTGATGAAAGCTATTTAGATAAACTGAATGGAATTGCGTAAAAAACTCTTTCTACAGAGTATTCCGCTGCTCGCTTTCCATCCGCACCCTGTGCCACTGCGGGAATGACTCGAAATTTTTCGCAACTTCTTTTTAAAACTTAAAATTTTTTTGAGGAAAAACTACCTTAATCGCATGAAAATTTAAAAAGAGATACTCCATTCAACCGAAGGAAAGGCTGAATCAATTATCGAATATTGGAACTGCCCAAATTAAAGATTCAGAAAGTCAGGTTCTTTTTTAAATACGAATTCATCTGCATTTTCATTCACACTCAGACGCCCAGATTTCCTTCGAAAGACATCGAACACATCTTCTGCCAGATCAATTATTCACGTGAAATTCTGTGCAAACCCCGCTAATATTCTAAGAAATTCGGAAGAGACTTTTTTGCGTTCCGCGGAGAAATTTAGAAATTTGTCTCTTAGGGAACGGGGTTGGGCCTGAGGGAGGAAATCGCTACCTGAAAAATTCTCGAAAACTCTGCGTGAGAAAATTTTTCAGCTTACAGTTGGAAATTAAAATTAGTAAATCTTGTAGGATTATAAAGAGCACGTCAAATTTACATTGCGTTTATGCGGCATTGGTGCAACGTGTCAAGCATACATATCGAATTGTTCTTAACCTGCTCTTAGAAGATAAAAGCTTTCTTAAGAAAAAATAGCTTTTTACAGCAAGGATAAAGATTTCGACTGGAAATTTATTTATTGATTAATAAGGTCGTAAATAAGCGGTAGGTCCACACTATTTTGTTGGGAAAACAAAATTTCCTTTTCATATTATTTTATTATACTATATTTTTAGCGTTTGATAATGATCTCGCGAGACACGGAAATATCCTGCGTAATGGACTACTAGACAAGGTACGAATTTAAGCGATCTGATTCATGTTTTTTAACCAGAATTCCGCGAAAAACACGATTAGCGCAACGAATATTACTGAAACTAAGTCCTATCGAAGATATTAACGTTTGTATTTAACAATGGTTACGAGGAATTTGAACTGTCCGCTCACAAGAAACTCAAAGCTCTACGTGAGTCCAATCGTGCACTACAACGGTTTCAGCCAGTTTCTCAATCGAGCAATGTTCATTTTCCACCATGTGTTGCTCAAATTATAAAAAATTTGCTATAGCTGAGCCAAAGCGTCAAAATTGAGGTTACCAGATTTTTAAATCGCAGATACTGTCATGATAACGTTTAGCGCGCGATGTGAATTACGTGGAGCATTGAGTTTTCATGAGCGGGTGGTTTGAATTTACGCATCAAGAATGATTCATTATCTTTGTAAGGAGTTAATATCAGTAATTTTCGTTGTGCGCATCGTATTCTACGTAAAATTTTGGTTCAGGAACATGTATCAGAATGCTGAAATTCGTACCTTGTCTAGTGGTCCATTGTGATTTTAGCCTTATTTCCGCTAGTTTGTTTTTATCGTATTAAAAACGTTTCCAGGACCTTATGTCCACCTATACCTTTCGTCCATTAAATAAATGTCCACCGCTATTTATGTCCACTAAACGTTAAGTCCAGACTTTATTAAGTCCACATGATTTAATGTCCAACCATGAATATGTCCAAAATTGTCCAAATTGTGGACATGTTATGTCCACATTTTTTTCTTCTCATTTAAATGACAGGAACCCTCCTCAAAAATAAATGCATACTACCACTACCTTCATTTTTAAAAACATTTCATTCATGAATCAAGTCATGAAAAAGAACAGACTCTAAGAGCAGATAAAAACATATGTTCATGTGTACACTGTACGGATATGATAAGATGAAAACCAAAGCGGGAGCCTAGGAAACGCTCCAATGCCAAATTAAACATTTTTCAGTAACAAATGCAGTCAAAATTGAAAGTCCTCTTTAACTAGTTATTTCGTGCGCCTTCAATCTTGTAGAATACTGTGCAAAGCCTCTGACGCGAAATAGTTGCTTAAAGCGTTGCGGCGCGGCAGGCAACCAGCGTGACACGCGCAAAGGCGCCCACAAACCTAACGGGACACTTCACGCGTTGCGCAATGCGTGAAGTATCTCGTTAGGTTTGTAGGCGCCGGTGCGCGTTCTGCGCTGCCAACACGCCGCTCCGCTCTGTGTTAGGCTCTAATATTTAAACTCGTGGAGTCAGCGTTCTTCAACTCATAATTTTGAAATGTTTGAAAACTCTGCATGAATTATTCTTATTTAAATTGATGAAAAAGAAATATGCACTACTGGAAAATATAATGTGTTTTTTGTAAATATAATAGTGGTTCCGTATCGATGATTTCCAAAGCATTCAAATTTATTCTTTTATGTTTTGGGCTTTTACTGTGCTGCAGCGTGGTGTAAGCGCAACTAAATGCTCAAAATTGGACGTATTTGACTCAAGGAGGTCGATGTACTGATAAGTTAAACACAAAAATTGCGTGCTTCTTAGTTTTTTTCCTCTTTTATTAATTTTTGTATAGTTTCTTTCATCACAACTACGGTTCATTGAGATCCATATCGATGCCATTGCTTGGAAAAGGTTTTAGAAATATTTACCACGTTTTAAAAATGTAAATGTTTTTAAAATGAAGTAATCACTTTCATTAAAAAAAAAGAATGTACATTTAAGGCATATTTTATATCGGAAATTTCAAGGATAGAAATGAAACCAAGTATTTACCAAAGACGATTTGAGAGGATGGATCAAAAGAAGAAATTAACATTTCATTTAAAATATGAGTTATACGATAACAACACCTCATTCTCTCTTAATTTTCTCATTTTGATATTGTCAATATAATTTTACACAAGGACTAAAATATGACGCTTGAATTTGATTTTAGTAGACTTTACTTAGTGGACGTTTAGGTAATGGACTTAACAATAGTGTGGGCTTTAGAACTGTGGACGTAAAAATTGTGGACGAAAAGTCTGTGGACGTAAAAAATGTGGACATAAAGTCCGTGTACCATTAAAAACAAATATAGCTCTTGATATCAACTTTTTTTTCGCTTCAAATATTACAGTTTCGTGTGAGTATGTGTGTGACCGGAGGTTTGAAAGAATTTGTTTCTAATCTTAACCAGCCTATTTTATTGCACCAGCAAATGGTAAATCGTTTGATGCATGTTTTTGCTATAGGATGGGAATTTTCTGTAAATTTAGGCGTAATGATGGCTTTCGATTTTTAGCACCATACTCCAAAAAAAAAAAAATAAAAAAAATAAAAAAAAATAAAATGCGAAAACGTATGTTTTCCCAGATGGAAATTAGGTTTTACGACTCGGAGGTTTCCCCCAAAACCTACATATAGACAGCAAGGAGAGAGAGTCCGCGCCCAACCCATAAGTGCTTTAATTCGTATTTTAGCGAGGATCTGCATGGAAACAGGAAAAATGGACCAGACTGCAGGGGAATTACATTTCATCGATTCAAAAATGGTCACTCGTAAAATTCCGATCACTCTGTGAGAAAGTAGATCTCATTCATCGAGCGAAATTTCATGAATTTTGCATTTTGCATGATTCTTCCCCATTTTCAAAATATCGAGATATTCTATGCGAATCAGTCTGTTCCACAAAATGAATACTCAACCGTTTAAGTGCGCTGTTTCAGGATAAATTGACACAAAAATCACGGTGCGCACGTATTAAATATCTAAAATTCATTCGTTAACGCAAAGTTTATGTTTTCCTCATCACACATTTACAAGCACAGCGTTATCGCTGGCGTTTAATTTGTAGCTACACAGTTTAAAAATTCCCCGTGTTTAGTGTTACTCTGTGTTACTTTTTTGTGCCAGCTCTACAGAAAAGACTCGATTGCCTAACACAATTTTGTCTCAAATCGACTCAAACCGTGAGTTACTCTGACGCATCGAGGGAAGAAAGTGTTCTGCGGAACTTATGTGCTCGTGTTTTCCCTCCTGCTTTGTTACCCTTAAGTTGCGTCTTGCGAGTGAGCACATTGGAACTAGAAAACTATCACAAAAAAAAGTAACCAACTGCTTGTATGACTTTGTGTTTTGCTTCCCATTATATTGCATGGTACAAGACTTAGGTTACTCTCTCTTACTGTATATCTATAATCCAGTTCACCTAGAGAAATATGCGAGAGGACCTTGTAAAAATTGTAAAAAAAATTGCACTCATTTGCCTTGTCCTCGGGGCCCCTCAATTTTAACCTATAGAGTTAACTTGTTTCTCTTTGAACCATTAAAATAGAGGCGGAAATTTTGTAACAACGCAATTGAGAAACGTGGTTTGGTACTTTAGCCATTGATCTGTATAAATTTTGCATTCTTGAAATCAGCATCAACTTATTATATATTGCAGACCCCTTCCGGAAATGTTCGAATGAAACTGCCGTCTAAATCAAGACAATAATTCCAGATACATCAAGAATAAATTGAACAATAAGTTGGAAAATTGCAGATAATCATAAAATTCCCACGGAAAAATTTCACATAATATGAAATTTTATCCGAGAAAATCCACATTTACATTGAATTTCAATGATGTTAGACTTTCTCTGAGTGGTAGACCGTACTCACTATTACCCCATCTCATTTTCATCTCTATATTCGTTTTATATAATTGGAGGTTGAGCAGCTATGTTAAATTCACAGTATTGGATGGGAAAGGGGTAAGTTTCTCGAGAGTATGCCGTTTCGCTTGTTACGTAACGCTCGGAAGAATTTTCCATTCAATTAAGTCTACCCAAATTTCTGCCCCATGAATTTTCAGTCAGAAGGTCTGCAACTTCAACGTCTGCAGAAATTAAGCGTGTTCAGGCTAGGCGTAAGTAAAAAGCATCGCGTAGGCGCAAAAAAATTTTTCGTCGGATGAAATCTCACCCGTATTTAATGGGTGCAACTGTAAAATGAATCCCATTCGTCTAAATGACAAATCTTTTCAAATAAACTTTAAAATTTTCTAAGGTCGTTTCCTGTGACAACATCGTCGGAAAAAAATTGGGATGGATCGTAAAAATTTCGGATTTCGGAACACATTTGAAAAAACTTTGTCGAAACTACAATGCATGTTTCAATCAAACGTTCTGATCAGATATAAAACGAGACAAAGGCGAGAAAAGCACTGAAAATAGGTCGTCTAGTTGGATCCACTTTAATATCAGAAGAGCGAGTTTCTGCTCTGTCGTGTTCAAAAACTTCTCTTACAACCGTTCTACTTTTTCAAGAGCCTTCATAGGAGAACGAACTTGTATGAAATTGTTAGTGAATATTATTGAAATGGCAAATATAAATTATAGGATACTTCCTGCAATCATGATCGGTTGATGATAACAGTCTCTTGAATTAAATAAAATGTGACAGGAATTTGCAACCTCGCATCAAGGACAGGGCTCTTTTATAGTTTCATCATCGATACACCGGCTAAATACACATCTTAAGGACGACTTTTTGACACAGGGGTGGCTGTAAGGAGAGCTCTTTCTTCTGGAAATCGAGCTAGGGATTTTTTTCTCGTGACTTGGTGAATTTTCTTTCAAATGCTATTTCGATGAAATTCTGCCAATCGGTAGGGGATCCGAAGTGGTTTTCAAGATTTTTTTATTTTGAAAACTTTAGCGTGCAGTTCGCATGGGGGCTCAAAAAGTATTTTCGGTTTAATGCGTCTAATTTTTTGCATTGATTTAGCTGAACCAGTTCTTAACTAAAATTTTGAAGTATTTAAAATCAGAGTGAAAACATGTAGCTCAGCTCAAATCAGCTTCATCTTGCATGATTCATGACTTGCGAAAGTCAGAGTTCACCGGAGTATATCTTATTGCGTCGCACTGTTTATCAGGCTCTTTCATTATCATAATTTTAATGTTTGATTGAGTTAGAGGTACGTTGTTACTGATGAGACCGGTCGTAAATTTCCATACTATTCAATACCTTCGATTACTAATTCCTCATCATTACTTACAACTTCACTCAAAAATGAGTGTTGCCGACGCATTATCTCCTTTTAAAAATAAACAAGGGGAAACATGTATCGACGGTTCTCGCAGATACTGTGTTGGCGGCGGACAATCCAGACAGGTGTTAGTTACAATAGAAAATTGCGTCTTCAAAATATTCCAGAATAAAAGATACTTCCTAAATAAAAAATGCAAATACAGTAAAAGTTCGTTCCGTCAAATTGACCCGGGTCCGAAGATAATTTCGACTTGAGCGAATTTTCGTCATAAGCGTTGTTTGTCTTAACGAACTTTTACTGTACTTCATTCGGTATATAAAATGTTGATGAAGACGCTCCGTTGACTCGCTGGGTAGCGCATTTGATTCGAGATAGGCAGGCCCAGCATCATACCCCGACAGGTAGATAATAATTTGAAAGTCGATCTCAAGAAAAAATATATGACTAGTAAATGAATAGTTCCAAATATGTGAAAAATCAATTTTTTTCTTTACGATGTGTCAATTTAATCAATTTTAGGAAGCATGTATGAGTTTTTTTACGTATAAATTTTTGCGTAAAGAAACTCGATCTTCTTTCGTAAAAAAACTCGATCTTCTTACTTTAAAAAACGTGTACTCCTTACGAATTATTCTTGTCAAAAAAACCTACATTGGCATCTCACTTTTGTTCTATTTTACGTCTTTTTTATGAATTTTTTGGGGGGATAAATTTTACGAATTTGTGCTACCACGGATACCTATCTCCTTCCATTGTTTTTGGTATACAGGGTGTCCCAAAAGTCCGTACCCTCCCTCGTAACTTTTGAACGGTTAGAGATAGAAAAACGAAACTTTGGGAATGTTGCTATCTTAAAGGGGTCCATCTTCTAGGGAGGTCAAAATTTTTGTCCCCCCCTCAGGGGGGTCGCGGGGGCCCCCAACTTTTTTTTTTCAAATAGTAACCCCTATCTTGTGATACATCATTAGAAAAAGCATAAAAAACTAAGAATTTTGGCACAAACCGCAAATCAATATCTTAATTTTTGACCGAGTTATGATAGGTCAAAGGTCAAATTTGACCTATTTTCAAAAAATCATATCTCCGGTTCAAATCATCGTAAAGAAAAAAATAAAACGGGAAAATTTACCAAATTGTAAGCACTTTCAAGTAAAAATCACAGAAATTACTTCAAACTAATTTTAAGGGGGGTTTCGGACCCCCAAATACGTCATTTTAAAGGTCATACGATATTCTCGCGAAATGAGCCAATTTCCCCTTACTTTTCCTCAACATTATCTTAGTAAGTTCAAAATTAGTTCAACATTGCGTTTTCAAGTCCCCAAATTTCAAACAAAGTTTTAAAAAAATGAAATTTAAATGGTTGAATTGAATCACCTTAAATTTCGTTTTTTGAACTTTGCTCGAAATTTAGGGACTTGAAAACGCAATGTTGAACTAATTTTGAACTTACTAAGATAATGTTGAGGAAAAGTAAGGGGAAATTGGCTCATTTCGCGAGAATATCGTATGACCTTTAAAATGACGTATTTGGGGGTCCGAAACCCCCCTTAAAATTAGTTTGAAGTAATTTCTGTGATTTTTACTTGAAAGTGCTTACAATTTGGTAAATTTTCCCGTTTTATTTTTTTCTTTACGATGATTTGAACCGGAGATATGATTTTTTGAAAATAGGTCAAATTTGACCTTTGACCTATCATAACTCGGTCAAAAATTAAGATATTGATTTGCGGTTTGTGCCAAAATTCTTAGTTTTTTATGCTTTTTCTAATGATGTATCACAAGATAGGGGTTACTATTTGAAAAAAAAAGTTGGGGGCCCCCGCGACCCCCCTGAGGGGGGGACAAAAATTTTGACCTCCCTAGAAGATGGACCCCTTTAAGATAGCAACATTCCCAAAGTTTCGTTTTTCTATCTCTAACCGTTCAAAAGTTACGAGGGAGGGTACGGACTTTTGGGACACCCTGTATACTTAATAATCCATAAAAAAGAGGTAATAGGTAGTCACAAAATTATATTCATCAAAGAACGGTGTATTTTTACAGTATTAAGGAAACATGTTTATTCAACCACTCAAAAAATAATTATTAATAAAACTAAATTTTGTACATAAAAATCATAATGAGCAGAAAGTCATATTTCTTTATTCCAAAACAAACAAGCAGGTTGAAACGAATTCAAACGCTGGTTCTGCAACTTAACCCTCAACGTTGGGTTGGGAGTTGAGTCATCAGGGTGACTCCTCCGAGCTTGTAAACAAGTACTATACATGGTCACGTCTTTTCTTACATTTCAGCATTGCAATTATTAGAAGATACATATTTCGATAGGAACTATATCACATACACTTTGAAAAGAGAAATCATACGCCTAATAATATTAATAAAAAGTTAATGCGCTTAATGATGATTTGTTGAAGATATTTAAAAAAAATTGTAGAAATTACATTTTGGGAGTTCTGAGTTTAGAACAGAGACAAGTTTAGAAAAATTGTTGGCATGCGTCTTATTTTGATTTTTCCATTTTTCACGTGAAATGAGATTGTGCTCGTCAATATCTGTTGCGCAGCCAGATGACAGATCAATTTCCTTCACAGTAAGAAAAACCAAAGCTTCTTTTTTTATTACGTACACAAATATATTGGAAGCAGTATTGATGTCAAGCGAAGAATGTTATATTGCTGTGCAATCGTGATACTAACTTGACAAGATAGATCGACGCTGAGACTACACAGATATGACTTCAATAAATTGTGGCGTTTCAAAATTTTCGCTATTGTTTTCGCAAGAATTATGTTCCAAGGACATTTTTAAAAGTTCCAAGGCCAATCATATAAAGTCCAACAGAAAATCCTACTATGTCGCAACTCGCAAAACCTGGTACGCATTTTGGTTTGATGAGCAAATTGATGTCTCCATAAAAAATTGAGACGTCAAGTTCCGATGACATAGTAGGATCTATATTTAAACATAAATTTGTACAATATTACTATTTCTGAGTAAATAATATAATGGCAGTTTACTTCTTTATTGCAAGTATAAAATAAAATTCCGACTTGGCGCGGCACCTCTTTCTCGTGAAAAATATCATTCATTAGTATTATAGTACAGGTACAGGTATAGTACAGTATATTAGATGTATACTTAATCTGATCATGCCTTAACTTCACGCAGCCTTTTCCTCTACTAGACTCCCAAACCAATGCACTCCTTTTCGAACCTTCTCCGGTGCCACAAACAAGCATTCCTTGGTCTCTCGGTACAAAGCCCTCCAAACTGGCGTCCGGTCCAGCAAATAGTACTCGCCCAAAATTGGCTTTATCGCCTCGGTGGCCTGCATCACATGATAATGCGGCATCGTTGGGAACAAGTGGTGCGCAACATGGCCGTCCGTAATATGGTGGGAAAAGTAGTTCCACCACCCGAAGTCCCTGTTGACGGTAGACATGGTGCCCCGCATCCAGTCCCACTCCCCCTCGTCGTAGTGGGGTAGTGCGGGGTGGATGTGGTTCAGGTAGGATATCGCAACGATCCATGCGTTGGCGAAGAGCAGCGGTAGACCATAGATGCAGAGCATCCACGATAGACTAGTTGAGAGGGTCAGCCGGTAGATAGCGTAAGCGACCGATGTGACGCCCAAATCGGAGAGGAGCACTTTGGCGCGCTGGCGGCGCGTAAAGTTGGGACCCTGAGGGTAGAAATGGTTCGCGAAGGAATCGTAGGTGCGCCCGGAAACGTTGAAAGTTAAGTACAACGGCCAGCCAATGAAGAGGGAGATCGTCAAGTTGAGGACCCGAAGTGGGGGGTTGTCCGTGTATCTGCAACGATAATTACTTAGCTTAGGAGTATGTTAAAACAAAAATATAATTACAGTATATAAGGTACACTTGCTGAAATTTAAATAAAGATCATAATATGTCTATCTGAATGGAGCTGCGAAAAAAAAAAAGAAAACCTAAGAAGTGGCCCGAATACTGCATGTAACAAGGTGGAGAAATGGTGCTGGGTCCACACCATTTCATGGGGAGATCAAAGCCAAGAAGTTCCAAAAATTGAAATTAGAGTCAAAAATATTTGTCCGCCATCAAGAATGGAGCTGAGAAGTAAGTAGACAAATGAAGGTGAAATTTGGATGCGCGGTCCTCCTAAGTAAAGGTAAATTGGAAGAATTTGTAAGACGCATACAGGTTAAGAAATTATCTTTTTATCGCCCTGCAACAGGGGCGGATCCAGCAATATGGCAACACAGGATCTCCTCCATTTAAACCTATGTTAAATTATCGATTCTTGTCATAGCATCTGGCCTCGTCAAGAATCGATACATTTCAATAGGTTTAAATGGAGAAAAAGCAACGTTTCCAGTTTGCTGGATCCGCCAATGAACTTTAAAACGCTTAACATGCACGCACAAGACAGATTGAGGGTGTTGACGATTAGATGAAAACAAACCCAACTCGTTGAATGGTTACTTTCGCGGACTCTTCTCATTCGCACGTTTTCGTAATGCACGCTTTCATATATGTCACAAGTGTAACACTAGGCAGAGGGCTGTGGTCTAGGCTTTGAGATTTTTTTTTTCACTTATGGACTTCAGAGCGAGTTGTACGAGCAACTTAAGGTATAGAACAATATGTATACGCTAATCGCCATCATAAAAATGCCGATTACTCAAAGTCGTCTCGCTTACTGGAGAGCTTCCAAATTTTGAAAATTTAAAGCTCTCCCGAGTTTCCCTTCAAAGGGAATAAGACATGTATTTGAGTTTTGGAGATCCCAAAATGGCATGTCAAAATAATGCAAAAATAAAAGTTGTTTCCATCAATGTTGTTTCACCTTTAATTATGGTAAAAAACTGAAGCAGAAAGTCAAAAGTGATGACACGCAGGCCTACAACATTCTAACGGTCTTTCTAATATGCGTTTCACGCCATCTGACCGACTGCATTGTGTTTGGCGCAATGCGAGAAGTATTCATGCAGTCTTGTAGGGGCTAATATGCCACGCAGTTTGGCGCAATGCGAGAAGTATTCATGCAGTCTTGAAGGGGCTAATATGCCGCGCAGTTTGGTTCAATGCGTGAAGTATTCCGAAAGTCTTGCAGGCGCTATTATATCGTATACATTTAACGCCGGCTGAACTGAGTTTGGCGCGATTATTCGAACTCACGTTAGAATAATCGCGGCTTCGAATAAGACAGCTCAAAAGACCCATGTTGTGTTTCGACGCTGTATGAGCATTCCAACGTTGCCTCGTACCTAGCGATTAAATTTTTTTTCGAGAAAAGATAGGAGATTTCTTTATACCCACGGCCATTATTTAATATTTTCATTTATCATCAGAAGAAAAGACATAGATGACTTGTCAACAAACTAACCTAAACTAGTGTTAACATAAACATGCACTTACGCTCTGCCGTCAAAGGAGCGACACTTCCCAGAAAATGTACAAATACCCATAACTAGCCTTTTTCATTCGTACAGGTCAGAAAAAACGCAGCTCGAGAAACACGTGGTACGAGTGTCGTCCCTTGTGCTATTCTGCGTCAAGAAATGCCATTTTTTTAACCTTCCGATTCCACCACTTTTAGCTTGGTTCGCGTTTTATTCTGCCGTGCTAAAGAAGAACGCCGTCAAGAGTTGCCAAATTTCCTTTGATAAAACGGTTATTTTTGAGGAAAGTTATGAATATTTTTCCTTGAAATTTTCAGGAACTTTAGAACAGTGTACGAATAATATTATCTGAGAAATTGGCAGCAAAATATTCGAAATTTTTCCGAAAATTAGCGATTTGTCAGAGGTTATTTGGCAACGCCTGGAGGTTCATATGGCGTTTTCCTTAGCACGGCAGTATCATGCATCATTGGCTGCTCTTGGTTTTTTTGTCGTCCGTCCAAAACGTTTGAAAATTGGCCTTTTCGTTGCTCTCACCTAGCATGCCACGGGAGGGCGTCCTTTTTTTTCACCAAGAATACGACCTGTCGTTCTGTGGATCCCGTGTTAGCGTGGTGCGACGTGTGCGAGTATTTCCATGATAAGTAAGGCGTAAGCATTGCCGAGTGAAGGACAAATCCGATGACGTCATTGAGCCACTTGTAGTCACTGAACGCATGATGGCCACAATCATGACCTGTAAGCAAACATTAGGAAAGTATTTTAGTATTGGGACTACCAACTCATTCTGAAAGATGAAGATAATACACAAAGTTAGCCCGAAAAATTTAACTAGAAAAGACACAAAACAAAAACCGCAAAATCCAAGCACAAGGAGCGCGATGAATGTATGTTTTTCGAATAGAGAACTATTTGAGCTCCACACGTATATTTTTTGCCTCTATGCGGCGAAATTTAATGATAAACTCAAATTAACGTAAGTTAAATCATTGTCTGTTGCGTCATTGGACAAAAATGCCTGACTTGATATGATTATACTGCCGTCCTGAAGAAAAAACGCCGCATGAACATTCTAGAGTTGCCAAATTGCCCTCGATAAAACATGTATTTGTAACAACATTTATGCATATTTTTCCTTGAAATTTTCAAATATCTTATATTAAATTGCATAAAAAAATTTCTGAAAATGTTGGAAAGTAATATTCACAATTTTCCCAGCAAATTTGATTTTTATCAGAGGAAACTTGGGAACGTCTGAAGGCTCGTACGGCGTTCTTCCCTCGCACGGCAGTATAGGCCCTCGACGTATGCTTTTTCAATGATAAAGTGTCTTACCAATGAGCCAAGCACCTAGCATGAAACTGCCAGCGACTGTCCAATGAAGCGGCCAGGCTATCACTTGAAGAAACGGTGGCAGGAGAGGAATGAAAGTGGCGAGATAGGTGGACAGGAATATAGCACCTACGTCCGTTGCAACGTAATACATGGAGCGCGGCAGGGATCGCTGGAAGCAGTGCGGGGGTACTGCTCTCTTCAGCTCACCCAAAGTGAATGGTGGCCGCGTCGAAGGGATGCGTTTGAGAGGTGACGAGGTCAATACTGTCATTCTGGAAAAGAAAGACAAATCATTAATGGTACTGTAAAAAAAAACAGAGCCTAGAGTCCCTTTAATAAATACGTGAGAAATCCTTTTGAGTAAAGACAATGCGAATCCATTTCTGAGGGCCGATTATTGAAATCGATAGACAAAGCTATAGACAAAGAGGAGAAAAGGGATATGGTGAGATCCTATTGGTGGAAGCGGATGGTTGCAATGGACGAAGGAGGTGAGTAATAGACTAACTAACGGCAACCGACAAGAGATCCGACAATTAGTCCATCATTCTCCCTCTCTGTCTGTAAGAACCACCAGTTGCAACCAATGGGATCGCTCCATACTCCCTATGTCCTCTTTGTCTATCGCTTTGTCTATCAATTTCAATAATCAGTCCGCTGATTGGTTCCCTTATTTTAGGCCTTCACGATGTCGCAAACGGTAATAAAGATTACATTTTCACCAATTGCAAAGATTATAAACTGGAGTGGACCGGGAAACTGGGGATACGGCAAGGAACAAATGAAATGAGAGTGGGAACGGAGACAGGAATTCGGGAATGGGTTGATCAAAGATTACAAAAATCATTCGCTTTGTGTAATCTTTATTTCCGTTTGTGACATCCATGAGCAGCGTTCTCTTAACTCTCTCTCTAAAGGGACGCTAGCAGAGACCACCAAACTTTGGGTCTTCTCCCGTTTTCATGGATAACTCGATCGTTTCCCGGGCCTTTTTCGGAAAATCTCAGACTTTGATTTTTTCGACAGTTAGAAAATGTGAAATTTTTGGAAAATTCTGTGGCTGGAAAGGAATGCCTCCCGGCTTACTTGTAACTTCAACAAAATTTATGTTGGCAAAAACTGAAAAATAAATTACCAAGAGAGACGCCCGCCCTTGACTTTTTAATGTTTTATCAAACTTTAAAAAAATCACAATTCATGACATCATGTAGCGTTACTGGACGTGTTTGAGGTAGGTTGTTCATTGATAAATCAAAGGAAAACGTAAATGTAATAGTGATAGGTATCTATACTGTAATTTTTTTCACATGCAACAGTTTTTCAGATATCACATCACATTATCGTGCGGTTCAAAAGTAATATGGTCAACTTTTATGACATTAAATGCTGCTTTGCATGATGACTCAGTGCAAAATTATCACGAGATTGTAGAGTCGAGTTATTCGTCATTTAAAAAAAGAAAAAAAAAATTGGTCTTTGAATTTTTGATTCCGAAGGGTTTAGCACCCTTCCATACTCAAGTCGTGGGAAATTGCAAATGTGAAAATTCTGCCGCATGATAAAACAGGATGAAAAGACAGAATTCACGATACGATATGACTTTTGACCTAAACTTTTCTATCAAAACAGCTTTTAGCATAATAAAGGTTGAACTTTTCACCTTTTGGATTAACCGCATTAAAGTTTGATGAGATATCCCAAAATTTGCTTCATTAATATGACTCACAAATGTTGGAGCGACTTATCAGCCGCGCGTGATATTTTTAACCTGTCAGCAAAATGTATACTCTGGCAGTTTGCAACGCTGTAGCGGCATGAATTGTGAATTTTAAGAGCTTGATAAACCAATACAAAGCTGGAAATTTCTTTTTAAAGCATTTGTTTAGTTTTGGTCAAGCCACTCCCCCTCTCCCCTAAAGTTATGAATTTGGAGGCATTACTTTTCCACCACCTCTCGTAGTTCAATATGAAATAAATTACTTAAAAATTGCCGGCCTTGCTTACGAACTTAAGACAATTGAAACGGAATAAAAGTAATATCAAGATGAATCGATTGAAAAAGGAACAGTATGATGCAGTGTCTCCTGTTTCTCCCATTTCGCTGTAATTACGTGTGGGACTCGAATCGGAAAATGGGAACCCTCCGACTATGATGTCGTGCTAAGGAAAAACGCCGTATGAACCTCCAGACGTTGCCCAATTGCCCTTAATAAAAATTAAATAATTTTCTGGTAAACTTATGTACATTTTTCCTCGAATTTTTCAGACAATTGTGTCCGCAATTTAATTTCAAATATCTGAAAATTCCAGGAAAAATATGCATAACTCTTCTCAAAAATGAAGATTTTATCGGAGGAAATCTGGCAACTCTCGAATGTTCATAAGGCGTTCTTCCTTAGCACGGCACTATGCCAGTAGGTACGGTACACAAGGGAGATCCCGCAAGTCAAAGCCCCTCGAATAATTCTATGGGGACCCAACTGATTAGTTGAGCTCACTAAAAAGCTGGTAGGAGAATCTCTTTGACTAAGAGCACATAATAGGTGGGCTTTTTTTGTTGAAAGATAAGGAAAAAGCAAACGAGATCACTGTCTGATGCTAATGACATTTTAACGCTTTGACGTCAATCCGCAACATATAGAGCTGGCGCACTGATCAGAACTCGCACGGCACTGTGTTAAATGATAACACGAGAGCTCAAATGAAGTAACATGTAGTGAGACGGTCAATGATGAAAAATAAGCAAAAAATCAAGGGAACTTTTTTTTACCAAAATTTGTTTAAAATAGAATAAGAAATGGGAGATATTCTCTTAAAATTCATCAAACCAAGACAAAAGTAAAAGACAAAGTAGTTGAGAAACACACTGAAAGTTGCAGGAAAGGAGATTTGATTAATATGATATCACAATGTTGATGAAAATAATAGCTGGGCGCGCATCTTGTGAAACATTTAAAAATGTTTTTACTCAAATTAGTGAATAACTGAACTAGTGGGTCTACCCTTGTATGGTTAAAGCGTGTGTTTTCACTTACTTGAAATGAGAGATAAAAAATGGAAAGAAGTAGGTCCGAACAGACGGAATGGACCTAACACTATAAAAATCCCGAAACTTCGACGGGCTAAAAAAAAGTGTTCCCCCAAATTGGTCCACTCTCACCCCGCACAAACCTTCTGAAAACTGCTCAGTTCACCAAATGGTGAAAAAAGTGCCGCGTACTAAATTATAAAGTTAAAATCTGCATTTTAAAATTACTTTATATTATGTAGCTCTAATAATGTAGGCAAAAAAAATGTCTCAGGATATACCTAATTTACATCCATTGTGAAAACGTGCTGATCAAACAGGCTGAGATTCCTTCCAGTCCAGTCTACATAAATCTTACACGTGATTGAATTTCTGATCATTATGGCCACGCTGTGTCTTTCTATCTGCATTTTCAGGAGTAGGTGGATCTGTCGAAGATAAAGATGAGGAGTGGCGAGTATTTTAGTAGAAATTGTGCTTAAATTGTTTGTACCTGGATGTGCAACTGAAGGAAATCATATCACACCCACTTTTTATAATGGGTAGAATAAAATATTCCAGTTTTTTTACTCCTATTTCTGCTTTATAGATGCCTTATTTCCATAACTCCTCCATTTATAATAACAAATTCTCGTCGAAATTTTTCATTCGAGCAAGTTTCACCTGTCAAATATATTCCTTTTTACTTGAAATTAACGTAGTATCAAATTTTCCTTTTGGATGGTATCAGTATGAATTTATGATGCACATATGAATCCCTTCTTTGTGTGGTAGCGAAGTGTAAGAATTAGCCAATCGGATGTCCTATAGTATATATTTTCGTACCTTGAAGCGAAAAATAACTTTGGATTTTTCTCTTTCACCCAATACATAATTGAAAAATAAAATTTTAATTGTTTGGTGATTAAAATACACCGACGTTTTTACTCCGATAGAGAAAAGTCAAAACAATGTAAAAGTCTCATCAGTTATTTAGAAATATTTATATTTTACCCTTCATTTTAGACATAAAACGAAAGACGAATAGGATGTATACACAGAGTAAATTGACATGCAGACTTTGTCTTTTAAGGGAAGACATTTTTATATCAGTAAAAATTAGGAAAAATGCCAAGGCATTCTGGAGGTCTATCTTGAGTACTTTCAACTTTTAAATCCGAAAATGACATGTTTGTATCCTAGTATACACCATTTGAATTTTCTTTGAGCAATCTCGTTTTTTGGGACAACATTAGAACTTTGAATTTTCCATAAATCTTTATTTGACGGAGAAATATTATTTCACTTTCAATTTCAGCCCTAAAATCCAAAAAACAATCATAGTGATGCTTTATTTCGGCTGACACACCTGCGCTAAGCTGTAAAGTGACTTTTTGCAAAACCAAAATTCAGATAAATCGTTATCGACCTACTTTATTGGTTATTGTAATTATTGTTAAGTTCACACCGAGCGTTTTTGAAACATCTGATAAAATAAATTAAAATATGATAAAGCTATATTCTACTTCAAAAATGTAAAAAACAGAGGAAGGAGAAGACGAATAAAAGAAATGGGAAAAATGAATCCTCGTGCAAAAATTTTGGAACACGACATTTTCAGCCTGTATAATCTAATTCGTCTCAAGTGGCAAGTTCAGATTACTTCCTCACAAATTTTACTCCTCACCAGCATTTGGCGGGACGGTAATTTACCATTTCAAATCCATCGCTTCGATCATCCAAACTGGAAGAATTTTACTGGACAAAAGATGCTAATAATTTTGAATGAGCTTAAGCCAGCTGAATTCGTAATGCACCTCCACTTTTGCTCAAAAACCTGTTCCTGAATTGAGATTAGAGTCGCTCTGCTAGAATATATCATTTGATTTGTACCACTTGCAGTAGGCTGCTGCGGTGGAAGTATGGACATCATAAGTTCGTGCGTATTTAGATCAATTTTTCAATTGGAACCTAGGCCTTATCGATGAAGTTTCATCAAACATTTTGTAGAGAAAATTGATTATTACAGAATTGGACACCCTTTACAGACCTTCTCCATGAATCAGTCATTCAGCCAATTAAAATAGATAGACCAGTCAAACGAAAAATGGTTCATTTAAAAAAAAAGAAGAAGAAGAAAAGAGATGAAATAATTCCATACCGTTTCCAATGATAATGTATTTGCTATGCACGATGCTGCACAGGCGCTAATTGTTTTGTCCTTAGGTGCTATGTATGTACTGTGAATGTAGTAGTGAGTTTTTGTTTTGTCCCCTCCTTCCATGTTGTTACTTTTTATCTATTGCGTCAACTGGATTTTCTATTACACTATGAAAAAATTGCAGAATAGGAGAATCATTATGTCGAAAATGATTTTTAGATAAATACACGCATCTTCCTCTGTATTTTAAAATCATAAAAGTCACTCCTAACGCAGTATGCCTGTGGAGCGAAGTGCCTTGGGGGTTGCACCACGAGGCGCAGACGGTCAAAAGCCATATCTTGCTTGTCTCAAAATAAAAATCTAAAGCACCGTGGTTAAAAATAATTCGTTTTCGTATGTTTTTTCAGCCGCCTTGTTTGAAACCTCCTAGAAATAATTGGGATTACAGATATTTTTTCTGGTCTATGCTTCTAGGGTAAAACATAGTAAAATGGACGACATGTGGAGTAAATTCACTTTTAAATAATTGAATTACTTTTTGCCAGACCAGTATAGACTAATAATTGGTGCAATAAATACATTTTTGGTTCTTCATAAAATGAAAATTGAAAAATCCTTGAAACTTTCTGAAAAGTATTCTGCCACACAATGATCTGAGAAACTGATAAGTTTGATAAGTGTGTTTGTTCCCTAAAAAATTCAACTTAAAGCAAAAAATGATATGCCTATCTGGTAGAAACAACCTAACGACGACTAAAAAAATATAGGAAAAAGACACCTTCTCTTGGTTGTAAAATTATCAAAAGGGCTGGCAAGTCCTTTCTCGTGTCCAACTGCTGTTCAGGGAATAAATATTTTTTGTGTAGGTACATAATTAATCGTATCCATTTTAAAATGCTAAATCAAGATTTAGCTTACCAACTTATTTTCGCTTCAGCTCAAATTCTGCCTTTGAAAATAAACTCTGTTCAAAATTGGCTCGGTATCTAGAAAGAAAATGGGAGACTGAACTATGTGCCTGCCTGATTTCGGCGCTGATCAATGATATGAAGTACCGGCGATGGATCACGATAAAAATAAACTCGTTTTATGATAAAGCTATACTTTAAAATTTGACAGTTAGACTTACTTGATACTAAAATTACAGGCATGTGGTTATTAGCCTTTATTTCCGTTGTTTTCGGTTTTTCACTCCGGAACCATTGTGCGACTTTTAATCTCACCATCGCCGGGCTGCTCTGGGTTAGTATGGATTTGCAAGCCCATGATTAGCACACCCGATATTCGTGACGTCACTAAAGACGAACGCTCAGCGGTCCTCAACGCTAGCCATCGGTCTCTCATTTCCTTAACTATCTCAAGTTTTTCAAACATGAATTGTGGTGCTGCTCCAAAGTTGTCGGGTGTGGTGATCCAATAGACAGCAAAGTGTGTGCTCTAGTGTCTTGGAATTTAGCTTAAAGTGCGTATTGAACATTGTAGACATTTCAGAGTCGTAAGTAATTGTGATTGTATATAGCTGGTATGCTTTCTATACCACAGCAGTGGTTCCCTTATATTGGTGAAGTTTAGGAAAATTCCAATACTTCGACAAGAAAATGAGCAAAGAATTGGAAAATAAGCACCGAAGTACATATTTTTACAATTTTTGGAACTATATTTGAACTATATATCGACAATTTCACTAATTAACTAATTTAAGTATATCACTAAATTAAGGGTACACATGTTGAGAAATCGTTTTTCAAAAATGTTTTTAATCCCTCCTCGTATTGATAACCATACGGTCTTAATCACAAAATTTCTGTCAATAATTTGAAGAACCAAGAATGAGCGCAGCGTGGAACTAGAGAGAGGTAATGGGCCGCCAAAATCAGACTGATTTTCTTCCTGTCGCTTTCTATCTGAAATGTGAATAATTTATTCATAATTAACTCAATTTAGGAATAAAATGCGAAAAAAATGCACTTGTACTGGCTGTCCAGCACTCGGTGATCGTCACCAAGAGGTTACATCCAAATCAGAAATCATTATGTATGGAAACGATTTCTCTCCCAGTAATTACATATTTTTGCATTCTGGGTCACTCAATTTGAAAGTAAACTTGATCTGGCTTAACGTTTTTTGGAAAAGGGAGTCAAAAACTGCAAAAATCAAGATTTATCCTGCGAAAATTCAGTTCGCCGATGACTGGTCTTCAGTGGAAAAATTTGGAAGACCATGACACCAAACCTCATGCAAATTGGCCAAACTGTTTCCATCCTATATTTTTGCAAGGGCAGTCATGTCAACTCCAGAGTTTTTTGGACAGTTTAAAATTTTTAGCTACCTAAATGATGCTGTACCTTAACGAATTAACTCATCGAGAGGCTGACTTAACACCCCCCCCTTCCCCTTTTATCGATGTGTATCATATATTCATTTCAAAACCGAGTCCTCGATATCTCGTTAGGCTGACGTGAATGGAGAAGTAAAAATAGAGAAAAATTATGTTTTTTGTTAATATTAGGCTTTGGGGAGGGGGTGTAGTGGTAGTGGTAAGGGAGGCATATCTCTTTCAAAACTTCAAAGAATGACCTACAGATAGATGTTATGCCATCTTTGACAATAAAACATTGATATTTTTGAAAATATGTTTTGAACAAGGTGGTGCGTTCGTTGATAATGAGGAAATCTTACAAGAAAATTCATTATTACATTCATGCGATCTGATCTGGATTTTGTTTGGATTTGAAAAACAGGGTCATCACCTTGTTACGTATTTACTTATAATTGGACTGCATTTTGAAATTTGGAACTATAAATTCTAGTCCGGTTTAAAAACAACGTATGCGCCATTCATTTTCCTATGCACATACTTGTTTACGCTAATTTATTATTTTAAATCGCCTTTTTCAGGGCAGAATACGAATATGGCAGTTTCAAACGGATTGATTTGGAGTGCGTCTTTGGTTGTTTCTGTTTACGCCTTAATATCAATCAGCAAGGTGTTCCGTTACTATTTCAAATTTGTCTTCTTCATGGCAGCCGTGGTCTTTTTCTCCACCATCCTCATCCCTGTCATGATATGGCAGCCTCGTAGCTGGAAAAACGGATAGTAAGTACGCACGTAACATACGTTAGTCGTAAGTAACGGATAGCTGGCTGGTGCTTTAAAAGATAGATTTGTAATCGTCTTGTAATCAAATAGGTTTTGTACTGATACGTAAAGAAGCAGGGAACAGCTAGTTCCTGTATAGATTTATGAGACTGATTCACCTTCAGTGGCAACATATTTGTGGGAATCGCTTTTAAGGCAAGTTGAAAAAAAAAAATGTGTTCCATTCTAAAAACACAAAACCACTAAATGAACTTTACTTGACGGTAAAAGTATCATTGATTACAGGAAAAAATTGCCCACTCACAAGAGACACGATTCTCTACGTGAGTCAAATGCACCACAACGGTTGCCGTGGGCTTCTTAATTAAGCAGTGTCCTTCCTTACCTATTTTTCTTAACGTGTTAGCAATGTGCAACAACTGAGCCAAAGCGCCAATATTGAGGATGTCATATAATCATACCGTAAAGACTGTTACGGTAACGTTTAAAGCACGATTTAACCCACAGAGAGTTTCCTTTTTAAATGAGCGGGAAGTTTGAATTATAACGCATCAGAAAACGATAGTCATCTCGGTTACAGGAATTACTTTCAGCAATTTTTGCTATCCGAATCGTGTTTGACGTAAAATTTTAATGAGGAAACGTGTATCAGAATGCTTTAATTCCTACCTTAGCTAGTGGTCTATTTTGCATCATAATTTACTTTTGTGACCTCATGTGGGTTTCAGTAGAACATCGTGGTCAATCAGACTGATTTCTAAGATGGTTGGAGTCAATTGGCAGATTCGAGGTCAAGAAAATGTGGTTAAAAATAATGGTGCGGTTGTAGTTATCAACCACCAGAGTGCGTTGGATATGCTCGGTTAGTCTACTAATATTTTGGATTGGTCTATAAAATATTTTTATTTTATCAATTGTTTTATCAACTACAAATTCCAATTTTAGCGTTTGAAATCTTTGAAACATTAACAATATACAGCGAATGAGGAAAAAAGTATCATACATTTTCATACTAGTGTCCCTCGTATAGTAAACAGAGCATTAAAAATGAAATTTGAAAAAAATGAAGGATTTTCCTCCCCCGGTAAAAATTGGCGATAGGAGCTGCGTTTCAAAATACCATAGGAGTTCTTATAGCCGACTAAAGATGGCTATTGAAAATCATATAGCTGACTGTAGAAAGCGGAGCAAATCATATAGCCGGGCTATACGAAGCTATACAAAAGCATACAGTCGGGATATAGTTCCTATCGCCGGGCTTTACACTTTATCGCCATTGGCTATAAGTGGCTATAAGAAATTGTGTAGAAATTCGTGTGCTTTGGAAATCACCAAGTTTGATACGGAACTATCTTAATATTTACAAAACACACTTTATATTTTCCTTTAAAACATATTTTTTTTTCATCATTAAAATGAGGATAGTCCGTACAGAGTGAGCAAACATTTCAAAATCATGAGTTGAAAAACGCTGACTCCGCGAGATTAAATATTAGAGCCTAACACAGAGCGGAGCGGCGACGCACTGGCGCCTACTAACCTAACAGGGATACTTCACGCATCGCGCAATGCGTGAAGTATCCCTGTTAGGTTTGTAGGCGCCAATGCGCGTTTCGCGCTCTCTGCCCGCCTCGCCTCGCCGCAGCGTGCCGCGGCGTCTGAAGCAACTATTTCACAAAAGGTATTGCACAGTATCATAAGAAATTGAAGGCGCTCCAACATACCAAGAATGACAAGCATCCTTCAAAAGTACGGAGCTTTCCTCGCAAAATAAATCAAGATACTACGGCACAAAAAGAGAGCGGTAGTCCAAAAACTAAGTCTTAGTATCCGTAATTAGTAGTGTTTAGCCTAAACTTTATCGTCTGGCTGTTGCTTAATCGCCATCGGCTATAAAATGTTATAAGAAATCGTACAGCCGGCTACAGAAGCTATTGGAAATCTTACAGCCGGCTTTAGGTCTATAGTATTTTGGAACACACATTCTACAGCCAATTTTTACCAGGGTCAGCCTCCGGCGGCACTGATAGATTTCATCGTTTGCAAGTAATCATATTGCACATTGAATTATGGTAGGAGAATTCTAATGTTCTAATCGTGATTTGGTATAGCTTCGTACCGCACATACATGATTACATGGAATATCACGTCCAAACTTTATGCACTTAAACATTTTATGTATTGGCTGTGATTTAAAGATATCAAGACATGTCTAACAATAAGTAAAGCTCTTATGTGCAAATCCGGCTAGCATTTGACCCATAGCCAAGTTATTATTCGTCCGTGAAATTATTTGAGTTGTTTTAGTCGTCGAAAGTTGATGACGCAAAATATATTTTCTTTATTCCAAGACAATATGTTTACATGTCTCTAGCTTGTCACACTCTACGTTTCGTTTTCTGTTGCAATTAGTGCTGGCCGATCTGTTTCCTTTCTTTGACGGACTAACCAATATCGCAAAGAAGGAAATACTTTATTACGGAACTTATGGCTTTGCTTCCTGGCTTCAAGGGACCATTTTTATTGATAGGGCAAATTCGGGGAAAGCTGTCGAGACTCTCAACAAAACTGCTGAGCACATCCGCAAAAATAAGGTACTCAATAAGTTGCTTTGGATATATACCCTAGTAGCACAATTAGTGTTTAAAATGTTTCAAAAATGTGTCACTGAAATCAAAAAACATTGTCAACACATTTCATCGAAACACTTTAAACACGTTCAAAATGTTTTCATTCAGTTTTTAACACGTTTCAGACACTTCTCTATGTCACCCCAAATTTTTGTCAAACTGAAACCCTATGCAGATGTTTCTGATACCTATTTAGGATGTAGCAAAGTTTCACTGATACGTTTCAGGAACATTTCTGAAACATATTTTTGAAAGGAAAGGTGATTGATGCTCTCACAAAATTGTTTCAGAAACGTTTCCAAAACATTTCGATGGTTTTCAAAATATTTCTTACGTTTCATCGAAACATATTAAACACGTTCAGAATGTGTTCATTCAGTTTTTAACACGTTTCAGACACTTCTCTATGTCACCCCAAATTCTTGTGTCGCCTACACCGTGGGAAGATGTTTCTGAAACCTATTGAGGATGTTTCAAAGTTTCACTGAATCGTTTCAGCAACATTTCTGTAACATGTGTTTGAGAAAATTAGGTTCTGACTGTTCACTATGAAATATTTTAGAAATGTTTGCATGTTTCAGGAATGTATTTCTTCTAGGGTTAACTAGAGGCTAAGTATCAAAAATTTTCAGACATTTGTTTTAATAACTAATGTCGCTGTGGAATTAGAACCATCACAACAGGAATCTCTTGATACCAACCATGCCTGAAGGCTGAATCGTTACACTTCATCATTATCAGCCTATCAGAGGGATCAGAACACCTTCACTTTAGAAAAGTATACGTAAAGCACGATGTACGGTTTCAATATTCTAGATAATCCATAACTTATGAGCTTTTATGGAGATGAACTCGATTCTTACAAGGAATTAAACGTGTTTATAACCTCCACATAATTAAATGTCCAAAAAGTATAGCTTGAGACGAAAAATTAAGCTGAAATTTGGTAAAATTGAGAAATTAAACGTTAACGCCCTCTGGTGGATTCAGTTTGAACCAGGAAAAGTTTTAGAAAGGTCCTAGAAATGTTTCTATGTTAATCAATGAAACATTTCTAAAATGTGTCAAAAACATTTTTAAGTGACGTATAAATTCAAACAAAATATTCCAAAAGGTTTTAGAGACATTTTGAAAATGTTTTGAAAAGGATTTGTTGAAACATTTTCAAAATGTGTTCCAAATATTTCAACTAAAACCACCCATTTCAGATGACATTTATAATTTGTTTTGGAAACGTTTTAATAAAGATTAATGAGATGAAGAAGAAATGTTTGGAAAATAATTTTGACTCAGTTCAATGTAACAAAGATCAAACTAGGTCAAAATGTTTTAAATTTGTTTCAAAAATGTTTCAGATGAAATGGTATTTTTCTAAATTCATACGAAATATTTCTGATATGTTTTAGAAATATTTCTGAAAAATCGCGTAAATTTTTTTGAAATTTGTTTTCAAAACAATTCAAAATATTGGTAATCACGCATCAAAAAACTGAAAGTAAAACATTTCAAATTTATTTCCAATATGTTTTTTAGGTACACAATTTGGACGTAGGTTTCGGAATAATGTTTCCAAGATAGTTCTGAAACATTTCTATTTTGTTTCATTTTTTACAGCCGCAATTTATTTCAAATTTCTTTCTAATATATTTTGATTTTAATTTTTTTAATATAAAAAAAAACCTTTTTAAAACGGTTCAAATTTGTATCAATGAAACCTCTGCAAAGCTTCGTGTCCATTATATATTTCAAAAATATTTCTGAAACGTTTCAGTGAGATGACACAAGTTAGACACCTATGAGATGTTTCTAAAATATTAGTGAAACGGGTTGTGCTACTAGGGTACTTACTAATATAACAAAAGTTTGTCATTTGCTACGAATCTAAAAATTAATTTATTAATTAAATATAACTCTAATATACATTGAAGTAATATTTTTACGACTTAAGGCTGTAGAAAGGATGGAAAATATATAGAAATACGCACAAAATCTTAGAGTAGTTTAATGGCTCCTCCAAAAAATTTTATCCAGAAGTCCCTACCAGAAATAATCTGGATGAGAAATTTGAAGTAATTTAATTTTGAGTCGGGAGTGATCCTCGATAGCAGTAATGCTGTCTCTGTTTTTCTGTTAGGAGGAAATTTCATTGGTGAGATTGTAAGAACATAATATTATTTACATTTCTGCTTGGTAATGCGATGTGCCCGAAAACAGATTTATACTTTTTTCCCGTAGAATTTGAAATGTATGGTTGGACTTTAATTAATATTTCGTCACCTAATAAAAAGTAGTATCTTTCAGCTGAAATTGACTATGTTTCCGGAGGGGACTCGTAATGGTGGAAAAGAATTACTGCCTTTCAAAAAGGGAGCATTCCACGTGGCGATTGCCTCGCAACTTCCAATTCAACCTATCGTCATTGCTAAGTATCCGTTTTTGGATGCAAAAACACACACATTTGGCTCAGGTAACTATATCCGCTATTTTGGGAATAAAAAATCCGACACTTGATGAATAATTTTGTACTTAAAATATTAGAAAGAAAAGACGATTGAAAAATAGAAAAAATAAGCTTGTGGATGTGAAAAATAATGCCTGTCTTTTTTTATTAGTTTTTTTTAATCAAATATTTGTACCAAAATTCTCGCATATTTCTCTTTTTAAATTCGTGCATCAGATTACAGCATGCGCAGAGATAATTCACATTAATAGTCCAAATAGCCCTCATTATATTTTCTCAATGTATAGAAGTGAACCAACTTCACAAATCTCATTCTCGATGGTAAGTATTTCAGAATATTCGAAGTCTAGGGTAAACTAATCGTCATGCACCACCGCAAAAGTCTGCTTTAGGTAGTGATGTAAATACCGCTTTTAAACCTTTGATTGATTTTCCGCTGTTGGTTTTAAAGTATTAAATTCAGTATACACGCACATCTTAAAAAATACTCTAAATAAAGCAGGTTAAAATTGTTATGACTATTGTCATAGAAGGAATGGATATTCTTGTCTTGAAGAAACTAAGCTGTCTGTTGTGTTTGATAAATTCAAGGTAGATAAAAGCATCCTTCCACTCTTCTTATTTTTCCGAGAACAATATTTTCTTCATAATTGTAACAAGAGAATTTAATATTTGGGTTGATACTTTCATTTCTTGTTGATCTGCGTACTTCTCATCGACCTGAACACAACCCTTTGATCAGATAAACAAGCTCGCTGTCACTTTCAGCCACCTGAGATAATTTAAAACCGTTTATTAATAAAGATTTTATTTTTCAGGAACAAGCCACGTCAAAATTCTTCCTCCCATTTCCACTGTTGGCTTGACCAAAGCGGATATGGATCAGCTTATCGAAAGAACCCGCTCGACAATGAATGATGCTTACCAGAGACTCTCCAATGAAGCTCTCTGAGGAAGATGAATGAAACCTGTTGTTTGTTCGTCGAATGCGACGAAAAATACTCATTTGAGGGTAAAACGTAAGTCCAGAGTCCCACAATTGTGGAAAACACCTCTAAAAAAAACCTTGCGTTTTCATTGCCGTGATCTAAAAGTTCTACTTTACTGTCATTTTTTTAAAGTAATGACCGTATTTAATGACCGTTTTTCACGGTTTGTTTCCGTCATCATTCGTCTTGATCAGAGGCGGTTGAATTATACAAACTAATGGAGTTGCAGATAACATGACGTTGCTGTCGTTTTGTTGTCACCTTGTATAGACAAACCTTATCAAAAAAGGACGCATCCATACAGGCGTGGACTCGCCGTTTAAGTAGTCAGGCTGAGGAACCAGTACTATGGCTGGATTATTCTCCGTCTGTAAATTGTCGCGTTTAAACGTATTTCTAGTCAAATTATGATATAAATCCATGATTTATGTTCAGAAACTGACCTCAAAAAAAGAAGAAGAAAAGAAAATTGAAACAAAATTTGTATTGCACTCTTCTTTTTCACAGTGTGACAAATTGCTATGGATGGGTATATTTATGGTTAACCAGCAAGCTTTAAAGTGCTGTAATGTAAGAGTGTACTCATAAAATAGGAAAAAAGTACTCTGGTTAGATTCCTAATGTTTCATTTGTTCGTGGAGTGTGCGTAAATTATTATTGTTTACGAAGATTGTATCCTTTACTATGAACGCTCAGCTTTTATGTTCTTTGTTTGACCAGATTAATGATCGTCATCGATGTGGATAAAGTTATTATTTATTCTGGATACTATGCGTTTAAATTATAGAAAATACAAAAATATTGTGTTAAAGACCGATTGGAATTGACTCCGTCATTTTTTAACACGTTCTGTATTAAAATACCTATTATACGCAGACACGCTCAATGAATTTACTGATAAAGGTTATAAACAGCCGGGGATTTTTGACGACATTTTTTTCCGGACTTTGGGAGGTTAGCTTATTCTACGTTTAATCATATTTAAAATCATAGTTTTTGTCTGCTATCGTTTTTCAAGACGGGCGCACCAGTGTACACAGAAAGAACGGCTTTATGCACATATGCCCATGCCCATAACGGGGTTTCAGACGAAGAGTTCTCAATCGTAAAATCTCGATATTTCCTCAGACAAGTTCGTTACCAAGATATTAATTTTTGGTCAGGTTTTTCAAAAACTTTTGGTGAAAATGTCCTTCCTGCACCTTAAACAAGGGAGATCCTAAGTAAGGATTCACTTGTGAAGAGTAAAACAGCATGCTATACATAGAGCTTAAAAAGTTAAAATGTTACAGACTGGACCATTTAAGATACATTGAACAGCGTTTAGTTAAAGTTCATTTTCTCGTAGAGCTTCATAGCTTATTATTTGATTATGTTCTCAAAAAGGTGAGAATCTGCAATTAATGAGACATGCCATTATAAGCCACAAGAAGATGTAATAAAGAAACTATTTTTAGAGAGAAAAAGTATTTGCTAGGATAAAAGTGAATTTATTCTAAGAATATGGGGTGCGCCCCCTGACCACATGGGCCGCGGCCCATGGCGGCGAATTTAGGGGGTGGCAAATTTTGCAATTTTTTTAAAATGTAGGTAAAAAATATTACAAACGAGAAAAGGCGACAAAATCATACATTCCCTGAGAGTATAGTAATCTCTAATTTTGTTGTTTCGCGGTGACACAAGAGACAGCACTTTTAACTAGCCGAGTTATGAGATATACCAAACATGCAATTTGGCCTGAGCGACGCTGCGCAGAGAGCAATGATGACGTGGACTTGAGATGAAAAGGAGAAGCCCTCGGCGCGGCGGTCGGCATATTACAAGACTGCATGAATACATCACGCATAGCGTCAAACTCAGTGCGGTCGCGATCAGCAGCGGTCGACGTGTAACGCATAGCGCCTACAAGAATGCATGAATACTTCACGCATTGCGCCAAACACCACCTGCTGTTTCGCTCAGCAGCGGTCGGCGAGAAACGCATAGCGCCTACAAGACTGTAGGAATACTTCACGCATTGCGCCAAATATGGTGCGATCAGCGAGGCGCGGCGTGGCGGTAGGAGTTAAAATTATTAAACCACATTTGGACCGCGTTAAACAGAAAGGAACCAAGCCACATCAGCCATTGCCAAATTTAATCGTCTAATTAAATTTTTGACATGACAACGGTTGTGCGGATTTTCGTGCAAATTCCAGCGAATTTTCTCCAAAGTACGAAGCAAATTCCTTAACATTTTCAAAGGGATCCGCACAAACGTTTTCTCGTAAAAAATTAAATTGCCCAGTTAAAATTGGCAATAGCTGATGTGGCTTGGTTCCTTTCTGTTAAATGCGGCTCATTTGTTTTTTCATAACTGTTTCGTTCATTTCTTATAAATCGAAGGCTTTGTCCACACAGATATAGGTTTACGGAACTTAACTTTCGCGCGAAGTTCCGTGAGCTTTTGCTAGTAGTGTTGACATAGCTTTCGCAAAAAATGTGTTCAGCACGAGTAAACGCGTCTTACGCACCCTTCTCCTTCTGGCACGTTCATTTGATGGTTTTTATTGATGTTTCAAAACGAATGAGAAGGGGGCGGCAAAATACAGGCGGCCCAAGAGCAGCAAGTCGGTAAATCCGGCCCTGTCGGGCGTTATTGCGTTACGTACTTATTACTCTCATGATTTTATGTTACAAAAGTTAGAATTTCGCTACCTTCAAGATTCAAGATAGAAAATGAGATAATTTGATTAATTTCTGAACATCCATGTGGTTCAGGTCTTGGACAATTTTACCTTTGTTTGGACTCTATGACTGCAATGAAAAATAATTTGAGCTAAGAAATATTTGAATACATGTATATTTACAATTTACATCAGTCTTCGTATACATAAAAACGACTAAATCTAAGAGAAAGAAACAGTTAACCGCACTCAGAAAAAATAAGTAGAATTGGACGTGCAATTATTGGACAACTATAACTTATCTAAGTGTACCACAGCCAAAAAAATGTTCTCATTGCGTCATCACTAGTAACGTTAAAAAATAATGTGTTTCTTCATTCTAAGCGATTCCTTTCTCCCCTTCACATTTAACAAGTGCTATGCTCTGTAAGTAATTAATAATTATTAGGAATACGATTGAGCGCAAGAGGTAATTCCCCCCTTTTTTTCTTACTTTTATTCTGGGTTTTTTGTCTTGCTTCAAATAATTTTGAAAACTGGTAGTCAGATAGAGGGACGTTTCAATTTACCCTCATGTGATAATATACAGCTTGACAGTCACACATGTGAAAAAAAAAAAAAAAACACGTTACCTGACGAAAACTAATTTAAAAGTATACTTAAACGGAATAAAGCCTTATAGGGAGCAAAAATAATGTTCATTAATATTGGTTCCCAGAATTATTCTCACATGGCAAGTTGCTTGATGAGTTAGTGTGGAGTGAATTGAACCTTAAATCATCAAGTCATGTAAAAGAATAGAGAAAAAAGTTAATAAAATAAAACCCTCTTGTGTGGGACCAAATCAACCTTTTGGTTTCCTCATGATTTCAATTCAATTTTTTCGCCGAAAAATCTGAAGAAAAATACTACTTAGAGAATCCGTGGTTAGCATTAATGATTTTTGCACTTTTCAATTGCTATTTTAATCATGTGTTCATGAAAAGTAATGTGACATTCTTCGAACAACCGTCAGCGTGAAATTATAGACCCCTGAGAATTGAGACAATCATTCCCTGTACCTGAGGAAACGCTATTTATATCACATTAGACAAAACGATTTTTTTTTATTTATATTTTTTTTTTTACCTATCTATTTTTTTTTATTTTTATTTTGAATCATTTGCCTTCTGTGTGCAGAAATTAGAATAAAGGAAACGAGTTATTGCTCAATCATAGCTTCCAGTAAGGCACTGTACCAAAAGACCCCCCTTTTGTCGACATCCTCCTTAACGAAAACGCACTCTTTAACAGCCTCATAAAGCGCCTTATGCGGAGGTGCCGTATCCCGTTGATAATAGTCGCCGAGAATCGGTCTCAGTTTATCGGTCGCCTCCTGGAGCCTGTAATGAGGCATTTTCGGGAACAAGTGGTGCATCATATGAACATTCGGGGTGTTGTGGAACAAGTAGTTGAGGAACCAGCCGAAATCCCGGTCGACGGTGGAGGTGATGGTGCCCCGCAACCAGTCCCACTCCCCCTCGGCGTAGTGCGGCAGAGAGGGATGAACGTGATTGGTCAGTGTGATGGTGACCAACCACGCGTTGACGACCACCAGTGGCCCCCAGTACACGGCCGCTAGCCAAGCGAGTCCCTGCGTGTGAGCTAGCCAGGCGAGTATTGCGGCCATAGCGAGCACGCCTGCATTTGCGAGATGCACCTGAAGGCGCATGCGGGGCGGGTACATCGGGGCGTTCGGATCGAGGAAGCTGTTGAATCTCGAGTACTTACGCCCGGTCAGGTTGCAGATTAGGTACAACGGCCAGCCAACCGTGAGGATAAGGAGGAGGAAGAAGATGCGACCAACCGGGCTGTTAAGGTACCTGAAAAAATATGGCGGATATAGTCACGGTCATGCAATCAGTGGCGTGGCATGCTTTGCGATATATCGATTGATCAGCCATTTAAATCCATGGAAATGTATCGATAAACAGGGTGTTCGCAGCAAACACCTTGATAATCGATTATTTACCACAGCTTAAATGGGGAAATATCGATAGATCGCAAAGCACGCCACGCCGCTGCATGTAATGAAGTTCTTTTAACGCAACTGAATGCGGTCTCAATACCCGCGCACTAATTCTGCCGTGATAAGGAAGAACGCCATATGAGCGTTCAGACGTTGCCAAGTTTCCTTCGATAAAAACCGAATTTACTGAGAAAATTGTGCATATTTTTTTCCAAAATTTTTAAATGTTTTGTACGCAATTTAAGCTAAAATATCTGAAAATTTCAAGGAAAAATATGCATGAGTGTTCTCAAAAATACGTATTTCAACAGGGGAAATGTGGCAATACTCGAAGGTCTATACGGCGTTCTTCCTTAGCACGGCAGAATTGTAAATCACTATGTTGTAGCATATTGCAGAAGCAAGAAGCAGATTTTGTAATAGGTCGACGGTACAGTAGTCTATGTCTCATTGGGAGATTTACTATTGATTGATCAAACAGAATGAAAACATCGCTTATAATTCAGAGGGCCAACCAATCCTTACCTCCGTAATGTCGACGGTTTTTGACGCGGAAGATGAGCGACATCTTTCTCAAGAGAACCAGTGTGGACATGGTGCATATGATGGCTGAATTTCCACGATTGATAAGGCACAAGCATGCTGGAGTGGACGAGAAACCCAATCGTATCGTTGAGCCATTCGTATTCGCTGAATGCCTGGTGTCCCAACTCGTGGCCTAAGAACCACAAACCAAAGGCAACAGTCCCAGTTGCGACCCAGTGAAGGGGCCACGCAAGCCACTGTACCGGCCAAGGAAGCAGCGGAATATAGGTGACGGCCACGTATGAAAGTACGGCTATTATGACCAAGTCATGTATGAGGTGAAATAAGGACCTAGGAATGAAAGTTAGACTTTGGTAAGATCAAGACTTTTGCTTGTAAAATGGTAATGGTTTTTAAATGGATCAGCTATTCTCTTCTTGTCTTCTGACAGTTGAATTTTCTGGATTATTACAAAAAAAAAAAAAAAAAAAATCTTACATATTAGAGGCGTTCTGCGCCCCCCCCCCCAAAAGGAGATAAATATAAAATTTCTGGCCAAACTTCATTTTGAATTTATTATTCGAACCGTTTCCCCCAACTTTTTGAACTTTCATACAATGCTTTGATTTTATTTTGATAATGCAACTTGAAGTTTCCAGTGGCCAATTAAGGGTGAATGTAGTTATATGAAGGCTGGTTTATTATAACATGGTAAAATATTTATTCTCTCCGCACAGTTAAAATTCATGAAGTCCAAACTTTATTGCACTTTTACGTGGTAGGTAAAATATATTCTAATGGTCAAAGCTGCGTTACAAGGAGATGCCCTTGTTGGACCCTTCAATACATTGAACAGTTTCCAAAGTCAGAAAAGGTCCTTCGTTGGGATAAAATTTCAAAATACTTAAACGCGTATAGAATGCACTCACCTAGGTAGGGAGCGTTGGAAGCAATGAGGAGGTACAAGAGATTTTAGCTGTCCAAGGGTGAACGGCGGTTTCGACGTTGGTGCGCGTTTTTTGGACGATTTCGAAGCTAGCTGCTTTTTCGGTAAGTTGGGAGTCATATGGTTCAGAACGTCCACACCCATGATTCTAATCTAAAACATAAATACTTTCAAGAAACGACGTTGAACTGATGGTTGTTTAGAGAGCACCTTTCGTTAGCCTATTACAGATAGAAATGTGATTGGAACGGAGATCTGGATACACTCCCTTCTCAGGATTTCAGCCCATCAAACAGTCCTGTTTCACAATTGAGGAGTTGGGTGCAATAAAGGCCTGAAGGGGTCGGCCGTTTTAGTGGAGAGCAACTTTTCGGATTGTTAATTTTGTCATTATTATATAGACAAATTTTAATTTTTTTTTTTAGCCAATTTTTTTTCAAGTCTTCTTTTCTTTTTTTTCCGAAACCCCTATTTACACCCCACATAGGTTGAACGTGATTTTGTACAAAACGGACCAAGTATTTAAACACACAATGTACCTCTCAAATCAGTCGTTCTATGCAAAAATGGCCTGAGTGTACCTTTTCTGTTTCTGTTATTTCTCATTTCCAACAATATATTTCTGCATTTCAATCAAGCCGGCTTAAACTTGAGGGTATGACTAACTTTTCTTGACATCAGTCATTGCTATATCTAATAACGTGACAACCTGGGTGTCATAGTGAAATATTCAACCGCTGTTTTGTGGAACCGCAAATTTGCTACTCGAGCTGTTAATGCACTAAACTCCTCAATTCCCCCCCTCCCATCATTTTTGAACGCCCATCCCTCTTCAGGAGGAATATGTGATCAGAGGCACCCCTTCTCACACAGAAAATGCACGAATACCTAACAAGCAAAACAGACTTTGAATGAGACAATCAGGATTCTCAGTTCCTTAAAGAGAAGGAACCACCCCAATTGCTTTCTGATAGCACCAAAATTTTAACGAAGTCACTCATTTTAAGATCTGATTGAATCATTTTATTGACCGGAAAAATGACTGCAGGGTTACCGGTAAGAACGCAAGTGCGCAATAGATAGCTACCACGTGACAAAAATTTAATTACGATTTTACTCTCGTTTTTGTTTAAAAGAGGTAATCTTACCTTCAAGTGATCCAAGCAACGTTTTTGTAATTAGATGAACCACAAATTACACTCTCTTCAACTGAGTTCTCCTTAGAATTTGCAAAATACGGTGCCAGAACTAAAGTGAAAAAAAACCTCGCTCCAAACTGACAGTATAAGAGAAGGTCAAACTCTGATGGCGGAGGGTGAGTCCAAGCGATTTTATACCGTGGCTAATTTTCCCCAAATGCTGAGAGACGGTAATCAGTGCCAGAGTATGAAGACTGGGAAAAATTTCCATTTGGTGCAAACTGGGAAAATTACTTTTTCCACACATGTTTAAAAAGTTTAAATTGATCTTACGCAATGCAACTCATCCGTCCAGTGGAAGCAGTACTGTAAAAACGGGCTTATACATGTTTGATGAGTGGCTCTACCAGGAAAATCAAAGATCAGTTCCAGATCCTGAGCTCGTGCAATTACTCTTTAATCACGGCCGAATGAACCTCTAAGGATGACCCCATTAATAATTAAGCTTGTTCCTCGGAAACTTCTCCGATGTCGTGAGCGAAGAGGGGTCACTTGATCGGGAAAATGGCAAAAAATGAATTTAAAGATGACGTTGATATGAAATTCGATTGATTAAACGACTTGCACGCCAGGTGATTATGAATCGTTTTCTCAAAATCACGTTTTCGAATGAAAATTTTCCGAAAAATTGGAGATGACTTAACGATTTTATATCTTGTTACCACATAGAGTCACCGTTTTATTACCACTCTGAGTTACTCCTTTGAAAGCTTGGTCAGAGCTCAGAATGGTAGGGTATACAGTTCTGTAAGACGTCAGAGAGAAAATAACTTCGGTTACAAAAGTTGAACTTCAATTCACGCGGAAAATTAAAGTTTCCGCGGCGGTCTGGATATTTGAAGTTTTGAGTCTTGGGAACCGAACTTCGGTTACCAGTACGGAAGTATGGTTCCTATGATTAGAAACTAGGGTTACCTGGATCGAAACTTTGATGTTCCATATAAACCGACGTTTCTTTCTCAATGCGTATAAGAGAAATACTGGGAACTTTTAATAAACGGATCAATTTTCTCTCTTATCACGCTCATCCCAACGTTATTTTATTCTATTTTTTGTGTTCTTTGTTATATTGTGCGGCTCTACTGTGTGCTTTCGTGTGGATTACTTTGAGGTAAGATTACTTTATTGAATGGCAGTCATAGTAGTTTACTGTGTGACAATAAAATAAGAAAGTTTTATCTTCTTGATTAAACATAAGCTAGTGTTAAAAAATGTAATTTATAAAAATTAAGTTTTCCAAGAGGTTCTTTCGTGTCGCCCTATAATTTAAATTACATATGTTTGTTCTTTAGTTGACCAGCAAAATAAGACAGGGAATATATTATACGCTGATCTTCTCCTAAATCTATTTCACTTTGTTTACGTGCAGCTTTGCTAGTCAGTAAACCGGAAAATTTTAAAACCTACCGAATGCGACACAGATTCAAAGATAAGAGAAAAAAATTAATTATTTGAAAGTCAGCTAAAAAAGTGCATTAGCTCGCATAGTGCTCTCAGAGAAACACTTTCAAAATGATTTTACCTCTCAAAATAGACAAAAAATTGAGTAGTATTGATAAATCCTGAGCATGCCTAGAGAACATGGGCGTAAAATCCCAAAATAAAACAATCTGAATTTTTTACCCGTGACTTTCTTTACGGTATGAACACTTGTGTATTAAAACTTGGTAAAATCAAGACTACAATGAATCTTCTAAAAGCTTCTAAAAAAAAATCGCGAAATTTTTTGTATGGGCTAATGCATGTGGTATTTTTGTGATTTACGGCACGCACCTGCCGAAAATGCCTGAGAAATTGAAAAACACGCGAACGGCCCCACACGGACAAACGTCACTGAGCTTAACTTAGAATGATTCGAATTAATGAAACTCAGCAAAGCACGTGTTTTCAATTTAAAAAATCAAGTGAGCTTGTATCTGCCACCATATGTATCTAAATGGGGAGCAATCTGGGTGGAAATAAAAAAAGTTCAATGTAACATTTCAAGCATGCATCTTCTTCCGTTTTTTCTCTGAAAATATAGAGACCTAGATTGAGTCGAGCCGACTGAGAAAATATGAGACTGTACAATAGGGTATAAAGTTTTCACAGCAGTATTCAAAACCTAGCATTCTCAAGTTACCGAATTATAACATTACTTATACCTGGAGATTAATATACGACCGATAATAATAAACCTGTTTTTGCTGCATGCCTCTCAATTTCTGGATACAAAATGGATCGGACTTAAACTAATCCATTGCAATAAGGATTGAAGTGGCCTAGGGCTGATCTGAAGAAGAACAAAACTTCTACATGCACCAGCAATATAGACGTTTTGATACATGAAGTGTTACTTTGATGAGGTGGAAGAGGAATAGCTGTTTTTTTTTAAAAAATGTTCAACTATTTATCAAGACAAAAATCAGAATATAGCCGGCGCGGATTTGCGCAAACTTGAAAGGAAAACTAATAAATTAACGTTTTTAAGCCTTGTGTTGATACTTAAACCTTGTTTTAAGAGTGTAATATATAATGATTGGAACTCAAAAATATAATTTTCTTTATTCATATTCTTTACTCATATCAGCAGCATTTAAAACAGCAATTTGAATACACGTTCAATCCGTGGTTTGGGCAGTCTTTTTTACAACTCGTTCCAGTGAAAGCACAGCATGTTTAAAAATGAAACAAGACGACGGTTCCAACGTTAAGACGTTGGAAAGCGTTCAACGTAGCACCTCGTCAATATGTAAAAGTGGTTTTGGACAGGAGAGAGCACTACAAGACGCTACTGAACTAAGTTAGTTAGTTATTATAATTTAGAGACATTCAGCGACTCAGGCTATTAACGTCTTTACAGGTAATTTTGAAATTATATAGGAATATAAACGAAAATTTAGATTTTTAAATTAAGAGAGGTGAAGAGTTTCAGAATTTTGGTGGCAATATTAGGTTCATCGCATGTAAGAGGGTTTGTATTTCTGTTGATTGTAGGGGAGTAGATCTGTGATTGGAGAAGTCGGAGGGAAGAGCAGTCCATAAGTATGTGTTTGATGGTTAGAGGTGATGAATTGCAGAAGTGGCAGGTTGGTTGGTTTTCTTTAGATATGATATGATTGTGAGTGAAAAAAGTGTGACCTATCCTGAGACGCGCAATTTGGACTTCACATGATCTTGATTTATGGTTAGATGTTCTTGGATATGGCATGGGGGCTCTACGGAGACGATTCTGTTCACTTGTGCTCCATTCTTGTTCCCACAATTTTGTGATAAGTTCGCACATAGCTTTCTTAGCATCTTGCTGAGTGAATGGATGGTGAGTGATGTTCTGCAAAGAGCATGCTTCAGTGGCTGCTCTGTCCGCTGTTTCGTTTCCCAGAATTCCGATATGAGCCGGTACCCAGATAAAAGAGATGGAGTGGCCATTGGCCAATAAGGAATGAACAGTATCATGGATTAACATTGAAAAGGGATGATTAGTAGGGTTGTATTTCAAGGTGCGGAGTGAGGAAAGAGAGTCAGAGCATATGACGTAATTGATGGTATCATTGTTACAGGAACTAAGTTCTTGTACATATCTAATTGCTTCGAGAATAGCCAGCATCTCAGCTGTGAAAATAGAATTTAACGGAGATAATTTTTGTTTCAGGATAAAATTATTTGATGTATCTACGAATGCTAATCCTACTGATGTTTCTTGTTTAGAACTATCTGTGAAAATTTGTTTGTAATCAAGGAAGTTTTGACATAAGAGTTGGTTTAGTCGTTCCTTGTAAAATGTACTTGATGTGTTTCCTTTCTGATTACTGAACTAAACGTGGAGCATAACCTAGGAAACATACATCTATATAAGAATGACTTGTCCTCATAGAGTAAAATACCATAGGGGTCATTAGTGAAGGGGTACTTTGCACCCAAAGATTTTTCTAGGACTACGACGACAACAAATTTGAACGATCCTTGAAAGAGTCATTAAATACAAGTACGTTGCAGAGTTTTAAAACGTAAAGATATTAATTTCTCAAAGACAAGCCTACATGCATTACATAAAGTAGACAAAATAGGAGAAGAAAGGTAGAAATGAGACAAGAAAAAAATTGTGAAACTAGGTATTGCTTCCCGCCACGAAAAAGGGCGCTGATTCCCCTGGAGCAGTGCGGGCCTATGCTGCCGTGCTAAGGAAAAACGCCGTATGAACATTCGAGAGTTGCCAAATTTCCCTAGATAAAACGTGCATTTTGGACGACATTTATGCACCTTTTTCTTTGGAATTTTCAGATGTTTTAGATTGAATTGCGTAAAAAAATTTCTGAAATTTTTGGGAAAAAATATTCACAACTTTCCTATTGAATTCGGTGTTTATCGAAGGAATCTTGGCAACGTCTCTGGTTTATACGGCGTTCTTCCTTAGCACGGCAGTTTACCAATGAATACATTAGTAACATACCCAGTGCAAAACGACGGGAAATAGCGTACACCACTAACGTGGTGAACGCTCAAAATGTGCCTAAGTGCGTCATAGATTAAATTGCCTAATTCAACCACGAACTTAAGGCGTGCTAAACCACTCCAACACTCAAATGTAGCAGAGCTTAGCTTTGCGTCAGTCTTTTTAAAAATAACAATGATAAAAAATAACAGCTACAACAAGACAATTTTTTAAACAAGCAGCTAAACTTTACAAAAGTTTAATGAAATACATTAAAAATTGATTTGAGAAATAAAAGGCACTCCTACGTATAAAACAATTATTAATTTTAAGTTTAATCCTAAAAAAGGATCCACATATTCTCTTTATGCAATCCCTTTTTCAGCTTCCTACGATTAAGCTTTAAACGTGTTTCCTATCACAAAGAGTTCATACGTATAGATAGGAACTATCAATAAATGCGCTAGAAATAGATATAAATATAACGGAAAAAGGTTTTTGATTTTTCTAATCAAAATACACACAGCAAATGGCTGCGAATTCAAAATGAGAAACAGCTCTTGAAGAAATTTTGCAATAAAATATTTTTTTCAAAACTTGAATAAACGATCCTTCCTTAGAAACTTTGTCGCTTTCAGTGTTTTCTTCTTAAAAGACCGTCTTCGATAACGGTTCGATTTATCGTTTGGTTCAAAACAATAGAACATAACCTCAAACCAAACTCTAAGGATTTTAATTGGAAAAGTTGAAAATGAGAAATTTCCTGACAATTTCACTTTGCATTGGCATTTGGTACTCAAAAGAATAAAAAATCTGTTTCAAAAGATCCGTTCTCTCAGATTTCTGAATTTACTTTTGAGGCTTTGTTTATGTTTTGAACCAATCGATATCGATACGATCTCACCCGTTTGATGTATCGAATACGATCTATTGAAGATAACATTCATAAATCTGACGATAAGATAACCCGCCCAATGGGTTCCTTCTCATGACTTCATTGGACCTTCTTTTAGGTCAGAACGGTAGCATTGTGCGGCAAAACTTTGACGAAGACAGTTTTGCCTCTCAAATGCAACAGTCATAATCAAAAATGAACGAAAGAACACCTGAACTTTAAAGTAAAATCACAAGAATGAGATGAACTTCTGCCAAGCAATATTATTGCGTGAATCCGAGCTACATATTATTACTTAAAAATATTATGTGCGTTTTCTGAAACTCTACCCCTAAAGTTTCAGAAAAGGCTGATCCTTGACCTTCCTGTCGTGCTGAGCAAAAACGTTGTATGAACATTCGAGCGTTGCCAAATGTTCTCTGATAAAAGGTTGATTTTTAAAGGACGTTTCAAATATTTTCTCTTGAAATTGTCTGGTAATTTAGGCCTGATTGAATATTGAGTTCTCTGAGAAATTCGAATAAAAATTCCCCTGAATATTCAGATTTTATTGAAGAACATTTGGCAACATCTTAACCCTCAATGGCAAAGCGTTAAAAATTCGTAACAACGTATTTTCGGGGTTTTTAAAAATTGAGTCTTTCTCCTCTGCCATGATCTTGCAAAATTTCATTAGTTTTTTCTTTCTTTGAAAAATCGATTCACTTAACTTTAAAATTTTGAAAAAAAATTTGGTACTCTATTTGGTTCATGCAAGCTACAAAATAGATTTGTGTCCCTTAGAATCTGAGATCCAAAATTAATTCATGCCATAGAGGGTTAAGGCTCATGCGGCGTTCGTCCTCAGCACGGGAGCTTTCAACTCAGAGCGCTGCCTCTAATATCGGACTGTACCAATACACTCCTTTTTGGTTATCATCCTCCTTCACAAACACGCACTCTTTGACCGCTTGATAGAGCGCTTTATGGACGGGCGTCGGATCAAACTGGTAATACTCTCCGAGAACCGGTCGTAATACGTTCGTCGCCTCGACTAGCCCGTAATGAGGCATCTTCGGGAAGAGGTGGTGCACAGTATGAACATTCGGGGTCTGGTGGAAGAGATAATTGAGGAACCCGAAGTCGCGGTCCACGGTGGAGGTGACGGAGCTGCGGAGCCACTCCCACTCACCATCGCCGTAGCGGGGTAGATCAGGGTGGACGTGGTTGAGGAGTGTGATGCTGACCACCCACGCGTAGACGACGGTGATCGGCCCCCAGTATATGGACGCTAGCCAAGCTAGTCCGTGTGTATGCGCTAGCCGGGCGAGTAGCGCCAGCATGGAGAACACGCCTGCATTCGAGAGATGCACTTTGAGGCGCATGCGGGGAGGGAACATCGGGGCGTTCGGGTCGAAGTGACTGTTGTGCCGCTGGTACTTACGGCCGGTGAGGTTGAACAGTAAATAGAGCGGCCAGCCCACCCCAAGGACGAATATAAGAGAGATTATGCGACCAACGGGACTGTTGAAGTACCTGGAAAAATTAAAGCATTTCGACGGTGTAAGTCTGTAATCACATATTTCGTTTGCGGTGTCTGAAAATCTCCGCATATTAATATTTTTATTTTAAAGGAGAACAAGTCGACATCATTACTTGAAGTTTATGCAGACGTTTCTTTGCACAGAGAGGAAAAATCACGGCAGGTTTAAGGAATTGCTGTTAAGTAGTTTTCCGTTTAAAAAATCAAGTATGACAGGAAGTCTGCGACGTCACAAACCGAGTTATGTGATTGCCGACTTACACCGTAGATTCGTCGCACATTAAATTAATTCTTTCCCATCAAAATATAGAACAAATCAACGTATGTAAGATCAATGGACCACTATACGAATTTGAGCATTCTGATACATGATCCGTAACCAGAATTTCACATAAAACACGATTCTTGCATCAAAAATTACTGAAACTTGCTCCTAACTAAGATATTAACATTTTAATTTTACACTGATTACGGGAACTTTGAATTGCCCGGTCATGAGGAACACAATATTCTACGTGAGTCGAATCGCGAACAAAAAACAAACTCGCAATCAGTTCACAGTAGTGATACGATTTCCATCCCAATTTCGTCAAAAATGCTCGGATCTTAACGGTGATGCAAGTTAGATGTAAGAAAACTGTATTATTCTGATTACTCTCCCAGCACGATTCAAAGGTTTGCATACTTCTCATTGACCTCCATCAAAACTAGTCGTCAAAAGTCAGACTAGGGAAAAGATTAGTTTGTTAAAAATGGACTACATTTTGCAATTAGGCATTACAATCTCAAGCTCAGTTCAGAAATAACTTGTGTACCATTAATTTTCCCATGTGCAAAAGTGTTTTTTTTTGTGGATAAGCCAGTAATTGTAGTTTTTAATTACAAAATGTAGTCCAAAAAATTAATAGTTAGCCATAATTGGCGATTTCTCATTTTTAAAAAAATATCATTAAAATTCTAACGTGCGCAATTATATTGACAGAAAGTGCAAAAATACATCAGAGACCCATACATTCCCCGGAGGCATATTTTTACTGAAAAAACCCATGAAGCCTTACCTTCGAATCACAGACGGCTTTTGTTTTGGAACATGGGCAGAATCTTTATCAACAGAACCGGTGTGGACATGGTGCTGATGGTGGCTGTGTCGCCACGAGTAATACGGTGTGAGCATGGAAGAATGGACCAAAAACCCAATTGCATCGTTGAGCCATTCGTAGTCGCTAAATGCCTGGTGCCCCATTTCGTGGCCCATGAACCATAGACCAAAGCCAACGGTCCCAGCTGAGGCCCAGTACAGGGGCCACGCTAGCCATTTCATCGGCCATGGTAGCAACGGGATGTAGTTATTCGCCACGTAGAAGAGGCCAGCTAAGATTGCTATGTCGTGAAATAGATAAAGCGTGGACCTAGAAAAAAATAATAATAGGTTAGTAATCAAAATCTTATTTCCGGAAGGTGGGGGGGAGGGCTAGTTAGAAATACCTACTTTAAGACCGTTTCAAATATTAACTTGTAACTAATTTCCGCTGTGATCTTATTGTAAACGCTGCTTTAATGGACATGGTTCAACCATTTTCATGTGGGATTCAAACTGCAAAAAGCAGGAATTTCTCGATACAATAATAATTAAGGGGCTTAGAGGACAAGGCGCATTAGTGCATTTTTTGCCTTGTCGAGGAATCCGTGTTTGAAGTTTTGAAATGACATGTATCCTTACGGCGGAAAGAAAGTTCGGACTGACTTTTTGATGCTTAAACATTTGAATTCTGGAGCAAATTTTTTACGGAATGTGTATTAAGACTAGTTTTACTGGAAATCACCAAAGTCTATAGATTCTTTTCCAAAATTGCACTTCCGCGCCTTGTCCTCTTAGCCCCTCAATTGCATTTTCCTTTGCAAGCCGAACGAAAAATTAAGGCAGCAATTGTAGTTTTAATAAAAAAATGTACCAAATCCTTATTAAGTATCCATAATGGGTCACTAAACCTTGTTTATTTTATTGAATATTCTGAAAGTACAATGTGAGTAGATAACGTGGTGATTTTTCCGCATTTTTTTGGAGCCGAAATCGCGGAGAAACCCGCTTTTGAAAAATCTAAAAACTGCAAGACATTTCAAACGCAGCCTAATGGCGGGAAACTGACGGTGTTGACGCACTGCGATAGTCATTTCGCAATCTTCTCTCATTTTCCTCTGATGTTTGTTAAAATAAAACGTGTTTCAATGTGGAATTGTTGCTCGTTTATTATAGCTAACATATGAATGAGATTCAAGTCTTGAATTCTGAAGATATAATTTCGACTTCAGTATTGTTTTCATATACGAAGAGTAGATAGACATTTGACGGAAGTCGTGGAAACCCGTGCCCGCTTCTGATTGGTGCCGGATGACATCATTCGGCGCGACGCGAAACCGGGGCGTTTTAAATTTGCGTATAAGTTGAGCGATTTGAACTGCGCATTTCTCGGTTATTGAGTTACTTGTTCGCGTTTTCAATGTGCCCATCGTGTTCTACGCGTCATTTTCCTTCAGAAAACCATATTCGCAAGTCAAAATTCGTTCATGGTTTAGTGACCCATTGGTGATATTTCATTTTTAAAAAGACATGTTCATGTTTTGGAGGTAAATATCGTATATTCAACCATTGATAGTTTAGGATTATATTGAGCATTATCTATTAAGACAGGAAATGAAAGCTGCAGGAAGTACAATCTCACTTCATATCCTTCCCAGGACTAATTTGTTAGAGTGCAATACTAACCGTAAGAGAGAGCGTTCAAAACAATGCGGAGGCACGAGGGATTTTAGCTCTCTCAGAGTAAATGGCGGTTTTGAAGTCGGGGCCCGTTTTCGGGGTGGTTTCGAAGGTTGCTCATTTTTCGGCAAATCGGGTGTCATATGGTATAATACGTCCACACCCATTCTTCTGACCTGAAAATGTAGAATTTTTTATTACATCGCTATGATATTGCTGAAATACAAAATATCACAATCGGGTTATATTGCCCTACTTAAAACTTCATCAATGATTTCTTGAAGTTTGGAGTTTCATTCGATCATGAAATCTTCCTTCTCATTAAAGTAATTTTCATTCATTGAAACCCTTGCATCCTGATCAAATCAACCTCTTATTTCATTCATTACATGAAATGCAACTGTTCTGCCGAAACCAGCACTCTTAGAATATTCTCAAGTTGTATTAGTTTGTCGTATTTCAAATATTCTGTAAGTATTTCAAATTCCTAAAGTTCTGTTGAGATTAAAGCATGCCCTTTACAAGACCTTAAAACATAATTAGAAATTTTTGGAAATTCGGCCAAACAAAAACCTCCAATTCTGACCCTTGAAGTACAACTGAACGGTGAATAGTACTGTGATACTGTTACGCCAAAATGTTTAAAGTGTCCAACTTGCGGCGCAGATCCATCAAGATCTCGACAGTCAGACCTGAAGTCTCAACTCTCCAAGCGAGATTGCTAATGCCTGTTCGTCTCGGCAGTCTACTGAATAATTTTCAACGGCGATTTTAAAATTATATGATTTACATCCAATGTCCCGGATGAAACTTGTCTCGTAAGTTGTGATGACTCTCACAGGTGGTGATTTACTCAGCAACTTCGAGCCAATCACATTGTTCGACGAGGGAAATGATAGCAAAGCTCATCGTGCTGCGAAAATGCTGTCGATTTGGCCAATTTCAGGTCTACCAAATTGCTTCAACCTGCGTGCCATTAACAATCATGCATTGCAACGCTATGCCCATGCGATGGAGAAATTTTCCTGGAAGAATTTTTTTACCTCAAAAACTGTGTATAATTTGGACTCCCAAGGACGTGTTCCAAGAACGTTCAAATTAAACATCTATCACTTCCATTATCACCTCCCAAAAAAAAAACCTTTTAGCGAATGGATTTTCCCGACTTTCCTATTTTCTTGCGACTACACACTCCTCTCAAGATACTGTGTGCGCTAAAACCTTAAATTGCAATGAACCTTGGCACGTTTAAGAATGACAGACACTCATTTTTCGTTTATTACGACAATTATTTCTAAATTTGCGATAAATGTATCGCATATAATGATTAAAATACTACGTAAGTATAAGTTGTTAAAAATGTTGAGTGGTTTTTGAGCCACAAGCCTCAAAACTGGCTCTATTTTTTCCTAATTAAGGCGATCTATAGAACAGCCTATTTATTTTAGAACAATTGAATCGGCTCGTGCGAAAACCGCTAATGTCCATTTTCTCTAATTTTGAGAGAACTGCAAAAAACTGTAGGAGCCTTCAAAATACGGAATTAAAAAATGTTCAGTAGTTAATTATTACAGGAGAGGATTGTAGAAAAGGATCCCTAACAGTTTCCAGCTCCTCTTCTGTCTGGGACGGAATAATTAAAAAGAAAAGACTCTGGACATTAGCGGTTTTCGCATGATTCGTGAAAATCTCCGAGTTTTGGAGCCGTTTGATACTTTCAAAATTCATTCTAAAGATATTAAAACGGTAGATTATCATTCAAATAAAGTTTTAAAACTGAAATTCTTGACAATTGCGGCACTTAAAGCAAGTTTCATCACGAAACTACCAGCAATAAACTGGACATTAGCGGTTTTCGCATGATTCGTGCATGGTCGGTTCTAAATAATCGAAAACGCATATTTTTCATTATGCCTTTCGGGTAAAGAAGGTTACCTCCTACGTATGTTGAGGCGCTGAATCCGAATATGACCTCCGTTTTTTTCCATCACCCTCCAATTTTCCGGAAAAGCCGATTTTACTCGGAAAAATGACCATTTTTGGGCATTTTCAGTGTTTTTACGACTGTTAGCTCCTGCAGAATGTAGGTAAAATTTTTCGTAGCTAGGAGATTCAATTATCCCGATGTCTTTTTAACTGATGAGTCCGGAAATGACCTTAATTTTTCCCGTTCACCTCTCAGTTTTCCGGGAAAGCAACCTTTTCCCGGGGAAATGAGCAAATCCAACGCATATTTGTCGTGAATGCAATTTATTTTTATAAATTTTCCTGGACCCGTGGTAGTCTGTTACTTACGTATTTTGAGCTGCTAAATCCGAATATGACCTCGATTTTTTTCCATCACACTTCAGATTTCCGGTAAAGCCGAGTTTTCCGAGCCTAAAATTGTGTATTGTAAAAGCTATGCCGGATTGAAGTGTATTCAAAATTCATTTTATAAATGTCTCCAATATGTGATACATCGATTCCTTTGTATTTTGATCTGTTGAATTCAAATATGATCTCAG